TTAATCATAATCTTCAAGATAATTCACACAATTCATTCCACCAAACTCATCAGCCAAACAACTTAATAAGAGGTGTATGCACAATGCACTCTCTCTGTCACACTTAATAGGCGTATAGGCCACATTTTTATTTTGAATAGCCCAAAATATTGGGCCACTCAATATTTCTAGTAAGTACAAACTTAAGGACATACAAAAGTAGGTCTTTATCAATGTTCACATTTTAAGTTCAATTGTATAAATGTAAAAGCAAGAAAATAAAATATAGTACAAAGAATGAAGAAATAAATCATCCAAAAGATAATTGAAGAGTTAAGGCGTAGATCGTAAGAAAATGGGTACAGGGACAAATTTCCAAGGTTTGGTGTGTAATTCCACTATCTTTCTCATTCTCAAATATTCTAGCAGAGATCATATTGTTGCATTTTAGAAAGTAATGGCATTTGAAGTCATCGGGAAGAGTTTGCAGCAACATCAGTAAATAATCGTGATTCAAAATGAACATAACACATCACAAAAATCCTGAAAAATTCAAAAGGATGATAAGATTACCAAAACCGAAAACAATACCCAAACCAGGAGAAGAAAAATGGTCTAGAACCACTAACAAACTTCATTGTCCTCCACTTCAAAGGCTTTCCTTGCTTCTTATTTTTCTCTTAGCTTCTAATCTAATTCTTATAAACATTTAAAATAACCAAAATATATACATCAATGATGTAAAGCAATTCTCATGTTATTTGTGATTTCATTAGCTAAATGGTTCAATTCATGGATGAGTAGAGTATAAATTAACGCAAATCTGGATAACAAATAAATTTCAAACATTATATTTGATTTAATCAAGGGGTGAAGTTTTGCCTAAACGACTCATTACTCTTAGTTTATCATCACCCTCACAAACAACTTCCCATCTATGAGGTCGGATTTCTTCATTCTTTCGTTATTGCATTTAATCTTCAGATGAAACTCAAACATAATTTCAACAAAACAAAAGACCTTGATTGAGAAAAGCCGAGAAGGGTCTACCTATGATTTAATTTAGGGAAAAAGAACTCCATCTGTAGTTTGTCCCATCAAGATTGCCCCAAGAGAGCTCTTTCACTTTGTTAAAAGTTAATGCAGGGGAAGGTAGTCAAGGTACATTGGGAAAACTCAATGGGACAACTAGAAAATAGAAATGGGGAAAACCTAGTGGATCAGATACAATCAAGTTTAAAAATAAAATAAAACATGATCGAATTCTTTCTTGAACATCACACCTCAACATTGGAGAAAACAGAACTACATACAAATACAAAGATCACAAACTTCACCTCACTTAAACCTCAATGAGATATATCAATTAACCAGCTTAGATCAAATGGCTAGGAGAGAAGCAATGGAGGGAGAGGGTTAAATGAAGCAAAGAGCAAAGTAAAGATCACCATATGATGTAGATCATAGGGTACTTCAGCTCCAAAACTATCAATAAATCATGATCCCAGAATTTTTATCCTAGAATCCTAAATTTACCCTAAGATTAATTTTACATCATCATACGCAATGCAAGAGCAGATAAAAGTTCCCTTTTGTTGTGATAATGGCTTCAACCACCATATGCCTATTTACACGAACTATTTGATGATCAAAGGATAAGTTGTTGAAATAAATAATCAAAATCCAATCTAAAGAAAACTAGCAGAAGATAGACAAAATATTTTAGCTTCAACAACAATAACTATGTTGGTCCGCAATCTACAACAAAATAACATAACCAATAACTAACACAGCTAATTCCCCCCAATCATCTCACCAACACCAACCAATCAATCAAATAACTAAGTATACACTATATACAATAGAATACCGTTCATATAAATCTCACTCGATTTCTAAGCGATATGTCAGATTTAATCAGGCGGTTTATCTTCAAGGAGTTGAGTTATAAATTCTCAGAGATATCATATCATTCACTAATTAGAACTTAAAACTCTCTTGTAAGTTAGAATCTAGAAAGCGGCAAATTATCTTGGGACTATTTCAAAATAGCAATGTAGAACATAATTCAGGAACCAATGGAGTAACAAGAAGATTCAACACTAATAAAGCAGCATCAAACCTCGTCTATAGGCGAAAAATCGAACAAGATACAGCGAAATCAGAAACCTTGATCGAGGAAATACATATGATTTCATTTAATAAAGCATACTTGTATATAGCAGTAACATACAATTGATCAAGTTTCAGATCAACATATTCTTAATTCACAAGGCATAACTCTTAAAAAAAAGAAAATTAATCGAATTCTTTCTTCAACATCACACCTTCAACATTGTAAAACAAAAGGGGAAAGAAAGAACTACATACAAACATGACGAACACGACCTTCACCTCACCTCACCAGACCCGACCTCACCTCATCTCATCTCCCCTAACCGCCATGTAAGATCTCAAATCAACGGCGGAGATCAAACGGGAAGCGAATCAACGGAGGGAGAAGGGTTAGATGAAGCATTAATGGCGGAACGAGGAGCAGGAAGAGCGAAGCGAGGATCATCATGGCGAGTAGAATGGTTGAAGATTAAGCCGCGATCCATGGCATCTTCTTCATCGTCGTTGTCGGAGGTGCTGAGATTGATGCAGGAGCATCGTTCGAGGGAGGTGAAGAAGGCGGAGACGACGCTAGCGCCGACGTAGTTGGCCACCATGAAGAGCTTTCCGGTGGGAGTGGTGGTGGTGGTTATGGCGGTGTTTTCCTCCATTGATGAATGTTGAAGAAATTCGAAGGTCAAAGGATTTAGGGTTAGGGGGAAATTTGGGAATTGGGGAAATTAGGGATTTGAAGAAGAGATAGAGTGGAAATCGGAGAAATTGAAGGGGAAAAGGTCAGAGAGAGGAAATTTGGAATTGTTATTGAGAATTAAGGAAGGTTTGATTAGTTTTTAAGTGAGATTTTTTAAGGGATAAGGACAATTTCAACATTATTACTACTAGTGAGTCGGCTAATTGGTTTTGATTTTGGGCTCTTTGTTTTATAGAATTGTTATTATTGAGTTTGGGGTTTGGGCTCTTCTTCGATTGATACTGTTAGAAATCTCGGAAAAGGTATTTGGAGGGTACAAGATATTTTCGTATTTAATAATCGATGGACGTGAATGACTCAATCCAAATGTAAAACGTTTTTTTAAGACTAAACCTTGAACTGATACTAAGGCCCTATTTAGTTCACCTTGTTTTTGTTTATCTGAACTTATCTGATCTGGTCTGGTTTGGTGTGGTCTGATTTGACCAAACTTTAACCTTAAGTGAACGATAATTTATAAGGAAAAAATATATCAAGTGAGATCTTGTTAGATTCGTAATAATGTGTATTTGATTAATATGTAATTTTCATAATTTTTTTCATAACGAAATTAAAGATATTTAGCGATAAAAAATTGCGCATAAAACGATAATCTGATCTGAACTTATTTTTTCTGATCTGATCTAATCTAAACTTATATTTTCTGAAATAAGTAAAAATAAGTTGAACTAAACAAGGCCTAAGTAATATTGAACATATATATATATATATACACACACACACACTCGAGTGCATATTTTTCTTTTTTTGATAACTCGTTAGTTGCGAAAGGAGAAGATAATTCATTGGCAATTTGGCATGAATGACTCAATCCAAATGTAAATCGTTTATCTATGACTAAAACTTCAATTTGACACTAATTTAGATTGAATTGGTAGATTTCTATATACACCGGGTGCATGGAGCACCCAAGGGGTGTTTTTTTTCCCTTATTTTGATGATTAATGCTCATTACTCCGTATATTACTAACTACATAAATGAAATACGAAAAACAAGCACATACATTGATCTAAATTTGGGTACTTAGAATTTGATTTTGTTGTATCGTACTAACTGCCTTACTTTAAAAAAAGTAATTTGACTTTCGTCTTCATACTTGTTTCAACTTCCAAGTAAGTGAATTACCTTACTCTAAAGAGTAAGTCAATTTCATTGCTTTTGCCTCTGATTCCTCTTACTCGTAAAGGGTCTTTTTGTGGATCGAATAAAAGATTTTGTATGAGTTAATTTACATTTGATCTTGTCTCCTCTCTCTTTATGTATATATTGAGAGAAAAAGCTGGAATTTTATCAAACAAAATCAAGACCCGCCAAAGTTTGTAGGCTTTGGGGGAAAGAAATCATACAAATACGCTCCATATTATCATCGATTTCCCACCTAGCAACCGTGTTTCCTGCTCTTTTCACATGATTACATTTAAAAGACGAAAAAGAATTGCAAACACTCCAAATGTCATTGTAAAGAAGGAAGATCGGTGCAACTCCATCAGGTTTTGTTTCGATAGTGAGAATCACATTCAAAGCGTCGCCTTCCAGCACCACCTTATCATATCCCAATTTTCTCGCCAATTCCACTCCATATCTTGCAGCCCCAGCTTCCGCCATCTCAGCTGTCCAATCCACCTTCAGCCTCTAAGCCGCAGCAACGAAGAGGGCACCCTGATCATCCCTAATAACCACTCCCAAGCCCACTCCAATCCCTTGCATAGTATGAGCAGCAAAATTTACCTTAACAAAAGATGAGGGCAGAGCTTTCCAATTTTCTCATCGTTTAAATAAATCAAAAGTCAAAATCAAAATTGATTGTCTTCTTAAGGGTGAATGTTCCTAAGCCAATTCCAATTATCTTCCCGTGTTCCATCATGTCAGTGTTTGAGAGTAAAATTAATCAAATAATTTAAAATCTTGAGGGGGGAAAAAAAATTACCTTAAATTTATGGAAGAAAATTAGTATAGCAAAAAAAAATTAGATATTAAGATATTACAAAATGAAATATAAAAATAACCGTACAATTGATATTTTATAGTGAGATTTATTTATTCCAAATCGAATTTATAATTTCCTCAAAAAAAAAAAAATCGAATTTATAATTGGACTACTATATAAAGACCCGTCCTATTCATGAATTGAACGGATCTGAGTCATCTGACCCATTTATAAATGAGGGCGAATCAGGGCTTATAATGGGGCTCCAAGGCCTCCAACACATTGAATTGCTGTAATTGCTAATAACTCATTAAGAAAATTATCTCTCTGTTGTCGTTCTCCATTGAAGCGCAGTTGACGTTCTCCATTGAAGCATCTTCTGAGGTAAGTTCTTGTTTTTTTTCGTAATTATCATATCAATTTCACAATCTAGGGTTTACTTTAATCTAATTGTCAGTGTAGTAAGTTTAGGGTTAGAAAATCTGAACTATTGGTTCTAATTACTATGATTATGTAAGATCATAACCAGAGATTATGCTGTTAGAAAAGGAAATATGGCTCTAATTGATTATTGAATCAAGTATCCCTAATTATTTGATGATTGATTCAAAGTTGGTTCCTAATGATTGCAGAACCCTTTAATGTTAGGATTGAACTATGAAATTTGCTTGGACATGTTTCAAAATATGCTTAGATGATGATCAGGACTAAGTACTATAGCAGTGACCTCAAAGATGTCTCTATAATGGTGGAAAAAATCGAGTTTGTGTTGCAGTCTTGCTAGTTGTCTTTGGGATTTGGATAGGTGACCAAAGACTTAGTTCGAACATTCTTGAAAGTTTCTTTAAGGTGGCCTCGGAGACGTGTAGATTATGTAGTTTGTTAGGTTTTGATGTAATGAGGAAATTGTTTGGAAAAGTATACTTGGATAGATAGCTGGAAGCTCCTCTTTATCTATGGTCTTTTTCAGCTATCCATAGTTTCTCCTAAATGGATACAAACTAAGAATTATATATTCTAGTGTACGAGAAGTAAACAACCCGTGTCATATGATTTACTTTTCAACAATTATCTATGATTCTATGTGATGCTACTCGACAAGGGTATTTCTACCCTTTTTAAATTTGATCGATTTATACATTTATCTGTTATGGTCCATTACAAATAAGTCCCCTTTTATTTTTATTTATTTTTTTGACTAAATATACATCTATTTTAGTCATCACAGCTTCTTTAGGTCGTTTACTTGTCCTTAAGTTGATGCAAATAGTGACTAATTAACCTTAGATTGGCACGCTTAATTATAATTGATAGTTTATGTGATTATGAAATGAAAACCCTGAACTTCGTCATTTACCCTTTTTTACAGATCAATCATCATAGAAAACAACTATGGCAGGAGAAAGTGACACCCTAACCTGTAAAAACCTTCCAAACCTTTTCTCCTCCTTCGTTGACACCTTTGTCGATTTCTCTGTTAGTGGCCTCTTTCTTCCTCCCTCCCCTTCAAATTCTGACCCTAATACGCCATTACCCACCTTCAACCCTTCACCGGACCGCCTCATTGCCGTTGGTGATATCCATGGGGATTTCGAGAAATGCAAGGAATCTCTCCTTCTTTCCGGAATAATTGATGCTACAGGGAATTGGTCCGGGGGCTCCTCTACTGTTGTGCAAATTGGCGATGTCCTTGACCGTGGAAGTGATGAAATTAAGATCCTATACTTTCTTGAGAGATTAAAACGACAAGCAGATAAATCTGGTGGGAAGATTATTACGATGAATGGGAACCATGAAATTATGAACATTGATGGTGATTTTAGATTTATTACAGCTGATTCGTTGAAAGAATTTTCGAATTGGGCCTTTTGGTACAATGTTGGTAATTCAATGAAAGCACTATTTTCTGGAAATGTGGATCTGCCGAAAGATCCATTTCGTGGTGTCCCTGTTGAATTTAAGGGTATTAGGAAGGAGTTTCATGAGGGATTTAGGGCTAGAATTGCAGCATTGCAGCCAAATGGGCCATTGAGCACTCGATTTTTAGCGAATAATGTGACAGTTTTGGTGATGGGAGAGAGTGTGTTTGTTCATGGGGGTTTGTTGGCAAATCATGTGAATTATGGATTAGAGAGAATTAATAAGGAGGTTAGGGATTGGATTAATGGGGTCAGAGGAGACTTATGGAGAGATATTGGGAGGGGGAGGAACTCAGTCGTTTGGTTGAGGAGGTTTTCGCATGAATTAGCGGAGAGTTGCGATTGTGAAGCACTTGAGCATGTTCTTACTACAATCCCTGGAGCGAAGAGGATGATCATGGGGCATACCATTCAAGGGAAAGGGATCAATGGTGCTTGTGAGGGCAAGGCAATCAGGATTGACGTGGGTATGTCAAAGGGTTGTATTAATGGATTGCCCGAGGTTTTGGAGATTGCTAAGAATTCAGAGGCACGAGTTTTGACAGCTAATCCTGCTTATCAGGATAGTGATGGTGCTAGAGTTGTGAGAATTGGTGGGAGAGCAGGGCTTGGTGTGTTGCTTGAGGACGATAGACGCAAGCAATTTCAAGTTAAAGCTTGATTTTTATATGATCTCAAAGAGTTGCATATCATTTCTTGTGGATGATGATTGAAAGCAAATATAAGAGGATGGTTTTGATTATGATTTTGGAGAACTATTTTTGCTCTGTGGAAGTCTGTGTTGCTTGATAGGGCAGATTATTTGGATGCAATTATGCATATTGAAATACTGTTAGTGAACACTATTTTTTCTGTTCGAATAATATTTGGTGCTTAATACAAGCACAAAATGCTCAAAGTAAGGAGCAGTTGCTAACTCAGTGTCTCATTGACCTATTATTTTACTTTGCTGTATATATCTTCATACTTGGCAGGCTCAAGAATCCGTGTAAAATTGTTTCTTCCAGCAAATCACTTCATTCTCTTGAAAAAAATATTTGTGATTCATCTTATCTATTGTTGTGTGCAATGCTATGAATGAGGTTCTTTTGCTCTGGGTATGATGTAATCCTTAATTTGATTACACATGCTATGATCCAAGATTAGTGGTTTCAGCCATCCATGTCATTTAGGGGTCATGGTTTCGCTTATTGATCTTTTAAGATTGCCACAGATGTATTCTCCAGTACATCTTCATATGTTTAGGATTTAGCTAGTGCTATTAGTGGAGCATATGGGACTGATGAGTGTACATTTAAAATTTGATTTGAGTTGCGAATGTAGTCTCAAGCTTTTATGTTGAATACCAGATTATTATGGTATTGACATTATCTTATGTTTCCTTTTTATTTTGGTGTTTACAATTATAGGCGTTATTTTAGATCTTTGTTGTGTGTTTGATTTCATGGGAACTATTACCATAGAAGACGACAAATTATGTTATTTGGCTGTCTCACTTCAATGGATTTTTTAACTTCCTAAGTAATTCATTTTCTGTGGAACTTGTTGTTTGTCGGACAGGAGACAGAAGGCTAGGTGAGTCCAACTTATATAATTGGGCTTCTTTTTTTTATGTTAGCTACCCTGAACTTTAAACGTATAAATGTTGCATTTTGGGAGCAAACACTGGGACTTTTTTGTTGCATTTTTATATTGAATTTCTCAATACTCTTCTATAATACCTCTATAATCCCATCCTTCTTTGTTGAGTATCTTATTGGCTTATTTTTATTTCGTAGGGCGAGCCAAGTTTTCTCCATGTCTTATAGATTGCTGTGATCGCAGCCTTCTTTTCCCTTGTTTGGGCTAATAGAGTTCTGCAATGCCTTGTCATAGGGATTTGCCTCCGAGCATGACTCTTCATGTGCAGTCCACCTTGGAAACATACTATGATATCCTTCATGTAAGGGAGGACGCAAGCTTTGATGAGATCCGCCAAAGCTATAGGTTAGCCCTACTCCAGTCCCACCCTGATAAACTGTGTAAATCATCTGAAATGCCAAAATCAGTTGACGATGTAGATGATAAATTCATGAAAGTCCAAAAGGCTTGGGAAACCCTTGGGGATTTGCGATCACGTGCTCTCTATGATGACAAGCTAAGAAGTTTGAGATGTGATGAATTAGTTGCGGAAGATGTTGCTTTGGACGACATGATGGTTGAGGATAATGGGGAAGAATTGGATTTCTGTTATCAATGTCGATGTGGTGATTTTTTTATAATTAGTTGGCCTGAGTTGGAAGAAATGGGTTATATGCTGTGTAAGGATCCTGAGGATGAGGTTTCTGTTCGGACAGTTGAGGGTTTGCCAGGTTGTGTGATTCTTCCCTGCAGTTCATGTTCTCTGAAAATCCGCTTATTGATCAATACCAATAGTAAAGTAAAGCTATAGAAGCTGCATAACCCTTGTTGGTTGGCCCCAAGCTCTCCAAATTTTCTTTTGATGAATGTTTGTGTAAGTGCCCCAAATGTAATGAACTGATGTTTTCGTCCTTCAGCACAGCAAAAGGCTTGTGGTCAGCAATGTCTCATTCTTTACCAGAATTCTCTCATTTGTTAAATCAATCTCTTATGGGGTGGATGGTGCTAGAGGAACTTTCACTATGGGTATTGCAGTGGCCAGAAAAATCGATCAACTGTGTGATCTATGGTGAATTTGAAGTCTGAGCTACCATCTCTTAAGTTTGGGTCCTGTTTTCTTGGTTATATGAGTACTCCGTAATAACGTAAAATCCCCTGAAATATGGGCCTATATTCCCAGGTTAGGGAACTAGTTTGATTGTTTTATGGATGTTTTTAGCCTTCTAGGTTCTTTTCTTTTAAAAAAAATCGTGTTTATTATTACCAAAATTTCGTGTTTGATATTATAGCATTTTCGTATTTCGGATATCAACTTGCATTTTGTGCGGTCTTTTATATACGTGTTTGTATATATTAATATCTTTAGTTTAAAATTATGTACTTCGAAGTAAAAATAAAAATAAAAAAAAGTTCTTGAAGTTTGTTAGTATGAATTGTAAATAAAAGAATTGGAAATGAAATACCAATATTTAAATCAGGAAAATATCATCATTATGATAATATCCATATCTAACCCACGATGTAGGGATGGCAAAGGGTTGGACATGGAGCGGATTATGCTAAACCTGACTCCGACCCTACAGGAAGTCGGAGGTTAAATCTGACTCCGAATCCGACTCTGACTCCGACTCCGGCTTCAATATCCGACCTCTAACTCCGATTCGATCCGACTTCGAGTTTTTTTCGGTTATTTAATTTACTTTGAGAAATTGGGCTATTTGGGCCTTTGCAACCCACTCTACATACTCCACAATTAAAGTATAAAATTACACATAAGTACATAACCCCAAAAAAATTACAAAAATTTAAAAATTATATATAAATCAGAGTTGGAGTCAGATTACGGGTTAGATTATCTCGGAGTCGGATTTTTTGTAGAATCCGACTCCGACCCTCCTCCGACTCGGAGACAGATTATTTTAACGAATTTAGACTCAGATTACTTTTTTCTCGGACTCGGAGCGAATTTTTTCCTTCGGAACGAGGCGGAGTAGGGTCGGATTCGGACTGAATTGCCATCCCTACTGCTACAGAGTATTATTACCAATTTCTAGAGGGAGGGGAAAAATACTAAAAGTTAAAAAAAAAAAAAAAAAAAAGTACGAGTGCCACGTAAGAAGATAAGCTCACCCAACAAGGGAGGAAGAAGGGAGAGAAAAAGATAGGAAATGGAATTGACATTGTTTATTCATCATTTGAAAAATGGCTAGCATTGGCATTTCCATTCACCCAAATGCCATCTCTTTGAATAATTCTTCTGCCAAACGCCATCTTTTTTCTGCACGTAAACTTCATCTTTCTTTCCCAATTTCCTGCTCTGGTACGCACAATCTCTCACTCTCTCTTTATATGTCCTATTGTTTTGTTGCTTTAGTTGTTGTATTGGTTGAGCTTGAATTTCTTATCTCTAGCTTATTTGCAAGTGTTTAAAGTGTCTCTTTTGGCCCGCTTTAGTGGCGCGCTCTCTATGCTCTCGAAAAATCAAGCATCTCTTCTAATTTTAAGGGACAAGTCATTTCTTTTTCTTTTGGTTATCAATTTTGAATATAACGTGCTTTTCTTGACTTGTTTTGATTGATCATGTTGTTGCCTTATGTAATTTTGTTTATAATGGGATGTTACAAGGTTTTGTTGTGTTGGTAATTCATGTTTAGATGCTTATTTACAATGAGTTGGGACAATGCGACAATTTATGTTAAACAATCATTGCATACATCTAACACTAGTTGCGATTGAGCTTAGATCACTTGACAACTGCGTCTCTACTATATATTGGGTGAAGTAGAGTACATCTAACCCTTCTTATTAATTACCATAGCAATCATACTTTTAAACTAGGACAGGTGATTCTTGTGAAGACAGTGACAAATGTTGAGATAAATATTGATGCAAAACTGTTTTACTAATTGTTATAATATCCTCCCGTCAAAAAAAAAAAGTGTTATAAACTTGTAATATCCAAGCAAAATGAAAGTTGCATTTTGAAGGGTATTGCGTATGCTCTGGTGAAGTCTACTTCTTGGTATATCTCTATCTTTGTAAGACAGAGATGTTTAAATTGAGATGGTCGAACAAGCTATCAATACCTTTGTTTAAGTTAGTATGTTCACCAAAATACCAACATAATTGACTCACAGCGGGTAAAAACTCCTTGAATTGTAATTAAAGGAAACCGTTTGACACTCTATCTGTACAGTTCGATCCATCAAGTAACATTGGTAAGTCAGTTGATAGACATTTCTTTCACCTTACACCAATCCAACAAATGCCTTGAATCAGTTAAATAGAAGTGGATTATAGCGTTTTGTATGCTTCTTGACGATACATCAATACTATTTTGCATCATTGAACATATCGTTCATTTCATTCCCTAAGCCATTTCAGAGTCTTAAACAGTTTGCAGGATGCTTGTGCTTTGTTGTTTTCTTATTCTTCATTTTTTTGCGCTAACTCTAAAGTTAAATGAACTCATAAATGCTTTCTTTTTTGGTGCAGCTGTTGGAAATGGATCTCAGAAAGAAAATTCATCTCAATTCAAAGAACTTAGGAATGTGGCATGTGGCCTCCTAGCCACGTGGGCTGTCACAGCTGTCTCGCCTGTAATAGCTGCTAACCAGGTTAGAAATTTGCCATTGTTTCAGTATCAATTGAAGATGCCTTCATTTGAAACAACTTATGAATTAGAATTCTGTTTTCATGATTCATAGTTTTCTAGATACGCCTACTGCTCTACACTCTGCTGCTTGACATTGTCCAAATGAAGTGTTTTATGGTTTATTAGAGTTCATTAATTGAAAAATAGGGGTATTGGCATTTGGCAGTTGGCACCTTATGTAGATGATCTATCTTGTGCTTACTGCTTAGGACTCGACATTTCATGATTGTCATGATTAAAGTCACATCTCAGCATATTGACTTCTCATGTTCTCATTTTAAGTTTGATCGTCTGCATCTCCATTCTCTCAGGGCTCAAAAAAGAAAAAGAAAAAGAAACCCCCCCCCCTCCCCAACACTCCTCCCTTCCTCCCTATCTTTAATTCAAACCTTTGATAATTCACGTTTACTTGTAGAGTTTAGGTCATCTTATAAGCTGTCAAGCTGCTATATTGGTCTTTAAGTTTACATTTCATAACTTAAAACTCTAAACTATATAGTTAATAGCCTACTAGGTAACTTTGAAAAGTTCAAGCTGTTATGGATTGATTTTGAATCTTATGTTTCATAATTTAGACTATATAGCCCTCTCATGTCAGTTGTGCAGCATATTATGTTATCAATCTGTCATTGAAAGCTCAGTTTAGAGGCTCCGTCATATGTTGATAAGCATACTTATTAATACTTCCAAATTCAACTTATTATATACATAGCTCGTAACTAACTTTTCCTTTTAGGTGGGGTGATATTGAATCAGCTGTAGAACAGAATAGGATTGCTCAATTCAACTGTTTTCTCTGTAATATGCATCATGTTTCAGCTGCTTAGATGAATTTCCTCAAAAGAAGCATACTTTCTATAAACTCTAATGTTAATTTAGAGGATTGCTAGTTGATTTTCTCTGTTCCTAATTAGTACATAATTCTTCCTTGCAGAGACTTCCTCCACTGTCAACAGACCCTGACCGTTGTGAGCGTGCATTCGTCGGTAATACTATTGGTCAAGCAAATGGTGTATATGACAAACCATTGGATCTTCGCTTTTGTGACTACACAAATGAAAAGTCTCAACTGAAGGGAAAATCTCTAACAGCTGCTCTCATGTCAGATGCTAAGTTTGATGGTGCTGACATGACAGAAGTAGTCATGTCCAAGGCTTATGCTGTAGGAGCTAGTTTCAAAGGTATAATACTCCATTTTCTCTTGATCTCTTCTACTGATCAGATCTAATCATTGTTTGACCATCTTGAAGCTGATTACTCCATCCGTTCCTAAAAGTTTTGTAACATCTATTTTTGCACGGAGATTAATGAGTGAATAAAAAGAAATATCTTGTTAAAAACATAGTCCTTATTTCGTTGAGGTACATTGCTGAATCGAAGATGCTAACTTGTTTTAGGAACAGAAGGGACTATTTGCTTATTAATCAAATATTAGTAATGTTGCGTAAAGTTTATTTCTTGCTTTCTGACTTACAGTGGAAAATTGATTTTTATGCAGGTACTGATTTCACAAATGCAGTTATAGATCGTGTTAATTTTGGGAAGGCCGATCTACAAGGAGCTGTGTTTAAGAATACCGTGTTATCAGGTTCCACTTTTGATGAGGCCAAACTAGACGGTGCTGTATTTGAGGACACTATTATCGGCTACATTGATCTTCAAAAGATCTGTACTAATAAATCTATCAGTGAGGAAGGAAGAGCTGAACTTGGGTGCAGATGAACCGTCCTACCTATCTATCCGAACCCAGTTCTCTTTTCAACAACTTTTTTTGTGACTCACAGTGTCAAACTGAGAGTGAAGAAGGGAAAGAGATCGTAACCGACAGCTAAAGGTTTACAAGTATTGTTATGTAAAATAGTGATGCGCTTAATACTGATAGAATGAACAAGTTCATAATTCTCTCTTTTTCTTATGCTGCCTTTTCATCAACACAGTGCACCAATTTGTTGGTTTGTTAGTCTTTTTAGTATGAGTTATGTTACTTGTACAATTGTACTGTTGTACCTATCATTTTATACAAATCATAAGATTCATAACCACCAATTACTTGAGTTTCTCATGTGTATAGCTGTCTGTTATTTACAGTTTTTACTGTCCTTGTATCGAGTATTGTCTGTCGGTCTCTCATCAGAAAACAGAAGAAAGAAAAGGAATAAGGTTTAAGGGTCAAGTAGTTAGGAGTTGGACTGTACAAGTACAATGGGATAAGTCTCAAATCTAGTTTTCATTGGACCTCAAAATGACATTTGAATTGTTATATTTATGGAATCTAATTTGGGGACAAATTCTTGGTATATTGGGAGGAGCATGTCATGGGTCTCATGAATTTTTCTATTTTCTTAGAAAGAACTCTTAACCAGTGAGAAAAGAAAATTAAAATTTTAGTATCGATTTGTTAGGAATCGGATTACACAAAGTAAAATTGAGTAGCTTTTCAAATGTATTTTCATTGGATTTTTCAATGCATTTATCATAATCTTAAATTTGCACGATCGTTTTAAATTTAAATGGTACGGTTGTGATTCGATATTGGGGGCTTTGTAAAGAAAATGGTACGTCGCATGCACCATGTCATATATGCACCGATGAAAGTAAGTCAATGAAGTAATACATTGATGGGTGATGAATGTTGTCATTGACCTTATTACCTGCATGTACTTGATATGATGTTAACAGTTATCTAAAAATAAATGTACCATTTAATCAATAAGCGCATCTAGTGTAGTGGTATCATAGTACCCTCCCACGGTACTGACCGGGGTTCGATTCCCCGGATGCGCATATTATTTGTTTTTTATTTTTTTTTTATTTTCATTTTTTATTTTTTTTTTAATAAACTTCATATTCTATCCTTTTTTTTTTTTTCTTCCCTATTTAATTTCTTGGATTGGATGATATTTATTCCTTCTTCACAAAATCATAAGGCTCATTAGTTCATTAAATTTATTTTTCTACTACACAATATAACATCAGTTCATGATCTAGAAACTTATGATTAAAATTTAAAAGGTTTAAAGAGTAACGTTCTATAGCAAGAAACTCATAATATGATCCTTTTTATTCAATACTTCGACTAGTTGAGGCAGAAATCTCAACAATTTAATACGTGTATGATATTAAAAATAAGTAAAAGTGCACCAAAAAAAATTGACCCTTTTAAAGTGCTTATCAAATTACATATCACCCTCTCACAATCAATTATTAGGCTTTTACTCCGTACAATATAATATTGATAGCATCAAGAAATTTTTGGATTGGCGTAATTTTGTCAGATCAACATAAGCATGTATTTATATATTACGAGTATGTAATAAATCTCGGAGGAGACATTAATACTACGAGCGAGTTTCTAAATCTCGGAGGAGACATTGATAGGTATGTTTAACTTGATTGACAAGATAATTGTGTACAAAAACTTTATGGATGAACTATTCAAAATTATTAATCATAGGTATTTAAATTAACATATGCAGAATAAATCGAAATCGAAAAGAACAGATTTGATGAATTTACCTGCGAAGGGTATAGATCAATCATAAAGGAGGTATATCACAAACTTGAAATTAGCCTCTTGTCATAATATTGCTTACTCAAATGAGCATTTCAATCAATCATCAGCATTTTCCAAAAATCGTAATAAGAAAAGGCGGTTTTCTTTTAATAAATGAACAATTTTTCAATTTTCAAAATACCGTTGTAAAATACAATAAAAAAATTTAGTAATTAAAAACAACAATTTTCTAATTTATACCTAGCCTTCTTGCTGAAGTGATTGGAATACTCATTTGAGCAAGAAACATTACAAAGAGATAAAATGACGAAAATACCCTTGCCAAAAGTCGGGTTTGTTGGTCCAAGGTAGGGATGGGAGGAACGTGATAGTAATGTTCACAATTGAAAGTCAGTTTGGGAAAGTTTGATGATGTAGAAGGGAAGGGAGTTAGTTTGTTGAGTATGTAATTTGGGTGTTAGTTTAGAATTACTCCTTGGACTGGCAGCTCCCACGTATTAAAGTACTAAACACCATGTAATTCACCCACCACAATATAGAACACCACACAATACTCCTAGGTTACTATACAAACAATAAATATAATTAAAGCTGCATTTAAATATGATTAAAGCATCATATATAGGTAATGAACTTTTTCCCTTTAGAGATAAAACTTCCCAAATCAACAACAAAAATGCTTTAGCGCTCAGCCACTCAACATAATATCAAGAGCCAGCGTGACAAGAAGGTAACAAGTTCAGATCATCTATCCCTGATCCCTACCTTCAAGTAGAATATTTAACGATGAGTATGGGGAGGCTCATGCTGTATCAACATTTCAATCCCAAAAACTTTTCATATAAGGGGGCGTGATTGAAAAGATAGTAAACCACCTAGCCTTCAACCATCATATTAATCTTTTAATTGACTTTTTTTTTTTTTTTTGAATTAACAAAGTCATTCATTCATTCAAAAAAAAATAAATAAAAAATTGAGTTGATTCTTTGAGACTTTAATAATTATAAATACGGATCCCATAACTTGTGTCCTAATCTTGAAACATTCTTCAAATTCCCTTCAATAAATTTTCCAACTTTTTTTGATAAATTATACCAAGGTTATTAGGGGAGAATTACCATACTTTATTAAGAGAAATTTTAAAATTTTACTATCAAAGAAAATATATAAGTACTTTTCTTGATGGGTTTGACAAATATGTCCTAACGCCGCTGTATCATAATCTGTTGCGCTATTAGCTTCTTTGTAGATGTGATAAGACAAGATCTTGGCCTGGTGAAATGACTCAACAAACTATATAGAGACATCGTCCATGATATTTAGCTGGATTTTCCACGGACTACAAAAATGGGTATATTGTTGCCAAAACAAATTATGTATGTGAAGTACGTAACATTTTGATCCGGTTGATATAGATCACCTTCATTTGTAAAGAAAAGCTTGAATCATACTCCATATAATAATAATAATAATAATAGAACAATTATGAATTAAGATGTGGTGTCAAATACACTTTACGCAATGCACAAGCTAGCTAATTGCATCATGGTCATAAAACTCACCAACAAAGATAAGTATCTTTCATTAATCCATTGTGATACTTATTCTCTTATTAGACATTTCTGCTAAACTAAGTACTTCGTAACAAGCTAAAGTCATACCCTGCAACAGTTAGCAAACAAGCAAAACTTGACATGATCATGGCCTCAAAAACACTAATCTATGTTATTGTTCCCTTGATCATCCGAATCTTAGGTAAGCGCGAATCTTAACTACTCTCTCCACACAATCAATCATTAGTATCAGTTTAGTTACAATTTGTACGGTTTCTAACACGTTCTTATGTGTTGGTATTATGTAGGAGTTGAATCAAACATTGGAGTCAATTATGGAGTGAATGCAGACAATCTTCCACCACCAGAAGAAGTCGCGAAATTCCTTGTTAACTCGACATACATCAATCGTGTTAGAATCTTCGATGCAAACCCTGATATTCTTCAAGCCTTTGCACATACAGGGGTTAACATAACTGTTACAATCCCAAATGTTATGATTCCTCTGTTTACTAATTTCACATTTGCTCAAGAGTGGGTTAAGAGTTAAGACTAACATTTCTTCACACATACGTTCTACTAACATTAAGTGTATTTTGGTAGGCAATGAGGTGTTGGCAACAACTAATAAACTCCTCATTACCAACCTTGTCCCTGCAATGGAGACCCTCTACACCGCCCTCGTTGTAGAGTCCTTGGAGCGTAAAGTTCAAGTTTCGACGCCTCATTCTCTTGGGATACTTTCTAGCTCAAATCCTCCCTCAACGGGGAGGTTCAGGCTAGGATACGATGTGCATGTTCTTTGGTCGTTATTAAGCTTTTTAAGGGATATTGGTTCACCCTTTATGGTGAACCCGTATCCCTTTTTTGATATTGATTCTAATGAAATCGACCTAAATTATGCATTGTTTGGGCCTAATTCAGGGGTACTTGATGAATATACAGGTAAGAACTACACTAAATGTTTGATGCACAACTTGATGCTATTTTTTGTGCCATGAAGAAATTTGGATATGATGACGTGGATATTGTGATAGCCGAAACTGGTTGGCCATCCCAAGGGGAGTTAGACCATGCTGGCGTGGACCTACGAAGTGCTGCCACATACAATGGCAACGTAGTACGCCACGTCAGATCCGGTTTGGGGACCCCACTAATGCCAAACCGGACCTTTGAGACGTACCTTTTTGCATTATTCGATGAAAATTTGAAGATGGGCCCAGCCTACGAAAGGCACTTTGGGCTGTTTAGCCCCAATTTCGTGCCCATCTACGATATTGGGCTCCTACGGCCCAATAAGGCATATAGTGCTCCTCCCAATGGTTTCATATGCTTCTTCATGATCATCACCATTACAGGTTGGCTTCTAAGTTGATTACTTCTTGTGAAAGCTACGTGACATGGCTTGGGTTGAAGCAAATGAAACTCATATATTGGGCCATTGAGCCCAATGAGATCTTGGGCTTGGGCTGTTCTCAAGAGATGTGCTACAGAAGTCAAGGAACAACGATTAAGCTAGTGGGCTAAGCCAGCTAACAGGCCCAACATTATTCTGGCTCATGCAGTCATGCTACTATTGCAATTTTGGACACATTGTCTACAGCAATTGCCTCTACCAATCCAGGTATGTTTGTATAATCTTTCTTATACATTCTTATTAAATCAGAGAAATAAATGGTATGGATTACAAAGTATATGAACTACGAGTAGCATTTATAAATTTATAATTCACTTAAGTTGAAACTTGGATGACCTTAATTTTGAACCTTATCCCTTTGCTTTAGGAAAATTGTTCAAGATTCAAGAATTGAGAAATGACTAGATGGAAATCATGGAACGAAACGTTTCTAAGACATAAAATTGTACGCTTTTGTTTATCTACCACCGAAGTACACAACTACACATCCAATGAGGTACAGAGTATAATTATGTAGAATTAATTATCTATAATTATGTTTTAGCATATGTTAGACTTTATGGGCATTTGTAATTGCTAACAATAACCAAGCAACTTCTATTATGGAGTAAGTTTTAGGATTAATATTCTCAACTTGAGCTCGGCTCATTAACATGCTTCAACAAGCAATAATAATAAACACAACAAAACAGTTATGTTGTTTGCAACTCAAATTTGATTTTGTATTCCAAATTGTCATATAAGTGATGTTTTTAGTTTGTGTGCAATGTCCATCCCTAAATATAAGAGTTAATATTTGTTTAAATTATCTTGTAATTGTATCTTGGTTGAATGATTGGATAAGATTGTGGTTACATAAGATTTATGTTGCACATGTAGGTTGTGATTCAAAACTCTTAGACCACATATATTTTGCAAGTTTAGTTTGACAAAGTAGTGAAAAATAAAAGTTACCTTCATCTCATATTCTCATCCCAACTATTCCTTAGGACCACCACCTACATTCTATAAACGGATAAAGTGCACCCATATTTACATTTTTTTTTTTATCTTTCAAACTTTGAATTTTTCTACAACTTTTATGCTACGCCTTCTAGCCCATTTTGCCTTTGCATTTTGGTTGATTGGCTAAGCTAGCCTTTTTCTGTTAGAGAATCTCGCCCTTTAACAAAAATCTAATTAGCCTTCTCATTTTGAAAATAATTGATAAAGACGTACAACTTGTATACCTTAAAGTACTTTCAAACATAAATCATGATAAAAAAGACACGATTTTTATATGTTCTATTAGGCTGTCATACACTTTTAGAAATTTTCATACATTGGTTATGCATGATGAGTTTGACTTCTTTGACAACTTTGTTTTGGCTCAAAAAAGTTTATAACTAGATTGAAAATCTAAAGTCGCATTCAAAACAATATTGTAAGAGTGAAAAATAAAACGCAACAAAATTAATTGATAAATATAACTTGTAGTCCAAAAGGCCAAAAGTAATAAAATCACTTGTTCATGTATATGCATAATCACTCAAAAGATCAAAATATATTGATCTTTGTAATAGAATGCAACTCTCCTATAAAATTGATTAATTATCAATCATATTAGCACCTAATAAATTGATGACTAATCATTGGGGAAAGTCACGGGGCAATAGTTGTCAAAAAAAAACCATGATAAAAAATAAGAAGGTATTAGATCCTTGATGGTAATACTTAAGAGCACTCCATACCCAAGGACGGCTGTTAAATTAAAATACTTAATCAGGTTATGGTGATCATAACATATGCAAAAAAAAAACATACTTATATACAACAACATAAAAAGAAAATTTTCACACAAAACATCATTCTTTCCACTCTCAAATAACTATAACCCCTAGATACGAGCCATCAATAACTTTAGCCTAGCCTAGCTACTATCAATGGTCATGTTATCACTTTCCATTAAGATTGATTTTTCATAATATCGTAGAACCAAGTAAAAACCAAGAACAACAATCTTTGCCTATGCAATTCTACTATCCATAACGTGCTACACTTAGGAACAATTTGCTCTACTTGCCCTTCCTAATCTCAAATAACTACTCTCACACAAATGTTTAATTCCCCAACCCAAATCTAATGGCATCAACATTGATGTGCAATTTTCCATCTTCTAACCTATACCGCATAGTTCATTTATGCCAACAGAAATACAGTATAAAGAGTGGTTAACATCCGTTCCACCTCTAAATATGCATGCAATAATTGTGTAGTATATCACTTATGGCAACGCCACTATGATGTTTGGGCCAAAATTTCACACCCAAACTAACAACGGTGGTGCAAGCAAGATTGCATGACAATCATGAATCCAAATTAATCCTAGCTACAAAAGTGCAAAGGACAAAGAAATTATTAGGTCTTTCATTTTTGGCTTGATTCAAGAAAATTGAAAAAAAATACAAACGTTTTCTTCTCCTTGGATTATGTTACGGATTAATTAAAGAGGTGACACAACAATATCTAACATTTGTTACATTTCACATTTGACAAATTATTAAAATTAAAAAAACGTGGTACAAGCTCATCGTCCTCATCTCATTTCTGCACTTTTCTCTATCTTCCTTCTTTGACACCTCCTTTCTTTCTCTCACTTCTTTCTCTCTCTTCAATCTTCTTCCGAATCTTTTCTCTCTCTATTTCTTCGATCACCGTTTAAATAATCGATTAATCAAAAATTCCATCAAATTTTGTAGCAGATTAGGGTTTTGCGATTTCGATTCAATCTCAATCACCGCCATTTTTCCCCAACTTTTGAGCTTTTTAGGGTTTGAAGTTTAGGGTTAGAGTTACAGAAAAATGGGAGGCGATTGGCAGCAGCTCTTACAATCGGTAATCATTGGATTAATCTTCTCTTTCTTGCTTGCGAAGTTGATCTCGTTTGTTACTGCATTTCGTGATGAAAATCTCTCGATTTCTCGCGCACCTGACGCCGACGTTGATGCTGATGCTGACTCTGTAGCTGCGGCTGCACCTGCGCCGTCGAATGCGCGCCATGTTCGGAAAGCGTCGGTTCAATCGGAGCCTGATTCGACGGTATCTGAGGGAGAATTGAGTGAGATTGCGTCGAGAATTAGTGATGATAATGCGTCGGTTTTGGCGGAGAAAGGGAGTGTGACTGCTGGTGATGTGTTTTTGGAAGATGTTGATTCTGATGATGATGATTGGGAAGGTGTGGAGAGTACTGAGCTTGATGAGGCCTTTAGTGCTGCTACCGCCTTCGTAGCGGCGTCTGCTGCTGATAAAATTATGGCTCAGAAAGTGGGGAATGATGCTCAACTTCAGCTTTATGGTTTGTATAAGATTGCCACTGAAGGTCCCTGCAGCGCCCCGCTGCCACCGGCTTTTAAGTTGACGGCTCGAGCCAAGTGGTATTGTTACTTCTGTCAATACTGTTTGTTTATTTGTGGTTTAATATGTATAGGTTCTTGTTTCTTGGTGGTATGATTTGGCTATGATTTGTTGATTGTCACATTGACATACTAACCCCTTATATGGCATGGCTTCACCAAGAACCGATGTGATTGTTGATTAGATCTTACGCTTTACCATATCCAAAAACATAACTAGAGGCATATTTCGAGAAAATTCAATCATATATTAACACTTCTTTAAATGAGGGACAGTGTTTTTTTAGATATTGAAGTATAGTATCTGTGATTATTGTTTCTGGATGGAGATGGTATGCTGTTGGATTATGATTTGACAAAAAGAAAGTGTTGGGTGGTAGGAGGCTTGATTTGTGTTATTGTGAGAGGAATTTACTAAAGTGGAAGTTGAATTAAATTATACTAAAGGGGTCTTTAATGAATAGTTGGTGATGGAGATTGATTTTGGAATGTGATAAGAAACTTTGGTTTAGTATCTTATCGAAAGTCTGATGAAGAGGATTTCCTATTTTGATTGAAGTATGACCAAATAATCAATATGGCTAGTACGTTATGTCATTATTTAATTTTAAGAAACATTCTTGTAGCTTGTTTGAGGATTATTTTATTGTCAATTCGGGTAACATTACCGAGTTGAAAAAAAAAAATAGGTTTTGCCTTTGTGGACCTTTTGATTAAGATCAATTAAGCATTATAAACAATACCTGAAGTGAGGGATGTCTTTTTCTATCTTAAAGATGTTGCCTTGATGTGTTCTATATTGTTTTGTTCTGGTGAAGTTGATGCCCTAATCATTCATGGAAGCCTTATGCATTACATACTTTGTTGATTTCTGAAAATGTTAGTCTTATGTGGAGTAGAATGGCTCCCTGTAGTTGGCGTGCTGCTTGTAAAAATGTACGGAGAAGTGGGTGCTATGATCACTCACTCTAACCTCATACATTTTAGGCATACTAGACATGGAAAGGGAGTTTTTCAAGAAATAGACACATTTTCATGATTGGTTCTGTGCTAGTGTAAAAGTAATGGAGTTGAAAGTAAAGTAGACACATTTCTTGTTCTCTTGTGTTTGTTGTGTGTGTTGGGGTAGGGATCAAGGCATTGCAGTATGATGATCAAAATATCAAATTTAGCAATCTTCTCTATATAACTCTTGGTGAACATGAGTCTCTAACTCATCCATCACAGTAAAGTTAAGAATAATGAAATTAGGAGAATATGATGACCTAGAGCTGACCTCATGATCATGAGAAACTCTCCCAACTAACTATAATTTGTTTTGGGATATGATATAGGAATGCGTGGCAGAAAATGGGTGCTATGCCTCCTGAGGATGCAATGCAGAAGTATGTTGATATTGTGACAGAGTTATTTCCTTCTTGGGCAAGTGGTGGAGCAGAGGTGAGATTATACTTTTAGAAGGCAACCCCCCCCCCCCCCCCTCCCCAGACAACACCAACCCCATTAAACAATAGCAAATTATATTTGGTCTGGCTATTGCTGATGACTTTTGGTTCCAATTTATAAGTTCCTTTTTTCTTCCTTCAACCATGTTGACAGAAAACCAAAAATGGAGATGCCGAGGAGCATAGTTCAGATCCAAAAGGACCTATGGGACCAGTTTTCAGCAGCTTCATTCATGAGGAGGATTCTGGAGTTGAAATGTAAGTTTGCCAGAACTATGAAACTTATATACAAGTATTGAATTTTTTGTTTATGTTTTTTTTTTTTTTTTTTTTTGGGGGGGGGGGGTGGTGTGTGTGCGGATTATGTTTGGTCAGTATGCTTTTCAATGTGCTGTGATATCTTAGCTATAATCTATATCATTCTTCTGCTGGAAAATTGCAATGCCTTCTGTCCAACAACTGGTCCTGTTTATGTCATGAAATTATTTAAGTACTTGCTGGGCTGAATAACATGTTAAATGGCATAATTATATACATAATGTGTCACATACTTGTGAAATGTAAAGCTAAGCATTATTATTTTTAGGTTGTTTCCATCTTAAAAGAAACGTCATTACTAGTATACTTGAATACATTGTCAATGTCTGTTGGAGTCTGTCTGGTTTGACGTTAAACGATTTCACAGACAGACTCCAATAGACATTTCAGACATTTGAAATAAAATTGTATGGATTTAAGACATCTGACATAAAAGCTGTTCCAGTCACTGAATGGCCCATCCTTTCTCATGCATGGACATGTTTGGTGCTATGTCTTTTCATCAATGCTTAGGTCTGGAAATCCTTTTTTTTAGTGTTGAAGGTATTCAGTGTAATTTTTTGAGTATCTATATGGGAAATGGGCAACAATGGACGGTGGTTTCTTATGTTGTGTCATGCTGTTATTTCTTTTTTAGGAAAATGGATGCTATACATGCCTTTGCTAGAGAAGGTGATGTAGAGAATTTGCTTAAATGCATCGAGAATGGCATTTCACCAAATTCAAAAGGTTTGCGCTCTAAGTCTATCTATGTAATCTTAAACTATATTTAAAACAACCACTGAAGGATATATGTAAATTCACATATCTCTGCACGCAAGAATTATATGTGATTAATGTGAACCTATTGATTTTGTAGATCTGGATGACTAGAACAGAGTCTTTAAGAATAAAATATAAAAATTGGACAAGCAGGTTTTATGAACGATATTGTAGTGATCTATATTGGTGAGGTCTGACAGGGATGGAGTTAAACTTTTTCATTCTTAATTTAAGCAATGGAATGAAGTTGTCTGTATGGGAACTTTTAGTTGGACCAGGCTTGTAGATACATTGGAAACTATTCAAAGCAAGGGAACCATATTTTATCAAAAAAAAATTATCAAAAAAAATGTACTCTTCTTATCCTTGGAGATGGTGGGAAAAAGTAAACCCAATCAAATAGGCAAATGTGGTTAATATATTCCAATTTACTTGTTATTTTGAGCCCAATGCATATGTGAATAGAGCTGGCATGATTTATTGCAGGACTATTTTCCTCTAGTCATTTGTGTGAGAACATTTTATACATTATTCCTTTCTCCAGATAGTGAAGGCCGGACTCCATTGCATTGGGCAGTTGATCGTGGTCATCTTCCTGTCATAGACTTGCTCTATAGCAAGGATGCAGATATAAATGCTAAGGTAATGTTCCAAATATTGTTCCATTTGCTTTATCCTGTTTTTGTCTGTTTGGGGATCTAGTATTTTCATATTTGAGCAGCTACTGGTTATATTAATCACGCTATAACTATCAATTACTATTGCAGGACAATGAAGGACAAACCGCATTACATTATGCTGTTGTTTGTGATAGAGAAGCTATTGCTGAATACCTTGTGAAGCATAATGCTGATGTTGACATAAAAGATAATGACGGTGCATCCCCAAGTGAGCTCTGCGAGAAGAATTGGCCTTGGATGCGAGCAACTGATAAAGTGGTTGAGTAATGGGTTTTTTTTGGTTGTCCTACACTCCCACTACTGCTAATTAATTCGGTTAGGAACTTTCATGTGGATTTGTACATGCTTCGTATTATCAATCATGTTCCTGTTTTGTCCTGAAGATGTGTTGATATAGGTTAAATATTATATGCCGTTTCAAGTGGTAAAATTATTCTTCGTCTGCAATATCTGAAGAACATTAAACTTTGTATTTGCAAATTTAAATGTCTATAATCTGTTGTAAGTAATTTGGCATTCCTTGTGCTGCTAGGAGATGTTTGCATTCTGATTAGTGAACTTGAATCCATCTAAACCAAGTACACAGTTACATCCACCAACGCTGCCATCATGGACACAAGTTCTTGTCTATATTGGTTAAACTCAAGTCCTCTGTTTCTGGCATTCCAACTTAACTGGAGTCCATTATTTTAATTGATTCGATGAATATGAATTATGTAGTCCCTATGTTCTAGTTGTAATTCAATATGTTTTTTTTTTTTTTTTTTTTTTGAGGAAAGTTGTAATTCAATACTTGAATTCCAAAAGGGTATCTCAATTACTCAACTTATTAAATTAGTACTTTTAGCTTCTTTTTTTTCTCTTTATTTCTAAATTTAAGATTAACTTTCATCTATTTATTTTTATTCGTGATCGTCCCCTATCATCTATGTGCCCTAAAGCAATACAGAGTACAACTGTACAAGTAGACTTGCAAAGTTGGTGAAATTTCATGGCGTGCGAAGTTGAATGACAAAAATTGCAAGGGTTTTCTCATCCCTTGGTGCCTGGTGGATAAAAGACTCAAATGTCCGTAAGAGTTGCTTCAAGAAGTAGATAAAAATAAACATATACATTCCTATTGGAAATTGGATATTTATGTTGCATATAGGATGCTTCGAACTGTTACCTTTCTTAATACAGTGATTAAGAAATAGTTTATCATTAGAGTGGGGGGAATTAGAATTAGCACAATTATTATACGAGAATGTACTTCACTTCAGTTTGAATTGGTAAGTACAGAGTATTAGAAATGAAAAGCTCAATGCTTTGTGCTTAGAATCTTATTTTTTATCATGTTAGAATGATAGCAGATAGGAGGTATAAAGGCAAAACTCGAAGGTAAATTGTTGCAAAAGGGCACGACGCCACTTGTGTTTACCTCCTAATTGAGCTCCCATATAACATTAATCTCTTGTAAAAAAAGATATAGCAGACGAGTCAAAAACAGAAGCAATTATAAATTCTTTAGTTAAAAAAAAATACTAATGTTTCAGCTGATAAATCAGTTGAAATATCCTATACATTGTCCCTCAAAAATTGAACTTGGTGAAGGGAAAGAGAAAAACCGAAAATCCAAACGAGTTTCCCATCCCAGTTTTCTTCTACTCCCGTAACATTCTACTGCATCTTTTTTCTTTTCCCTGCCAAAAGCTCCCAAGAGGAGACCATTAGTCTAAACCTAATACACCGAACAATTGAATCAGTGATCCGCTTAAAGCTCATCATGTCCATCCTCAGCATCTTCTGAATCAGCGCTTTCACCTGATGGCCCACCAGATCTCTGGTAAACTGCGGTGATGATTGGGTTGCAGACAGCCTCGACTTCCTTGAGTTTCTCTTCGTAGTCTTCCTTCTCGCCACCCTGGTTGTCATCCAACCACTCAAGAGCCTCCTTAATAGCGGCCTCAATCTTCTCCTTCTCATCAGACTCTAACTTGTCGGCAAGCTTGTCGGCGTCACTGATTTGGTTCTTCATGTTGTAGATATAAGTCTCTAAGCTGTTACGGGCATCAATTCTCTCCTTCACCTTCTTGTCTTCCTCAGCAAACTCCTCGGCTTCCCTAACCATTCTCTCAATTTCTTCTTGGCTGAGACGACCCTTGTCATTTGTGATAGTGATCTTCTCGGATTTTCCTGAGGCTTTGTCTTCTGCCTTCACGTTTAGGATACCATTGGCATCCACCTCAAAGGTGACTTCAATCTGAGGGGTTCCCCTGTTTCATATCAAGATTTAGACATTAGCAAACAGAAATAAAGTAGTTAAAAGCAAAGGGAGGCAGATATTAGTTTGGCATTCTAACAAACCTTGGAGCTGGTGCGATTCCGGTAAGATCAAATTTCCCGAGAAGTCTGCAATCCTTGGTGAGACTCCTTTCACCTTCAAAGACCTGTTGTTATAGCAATCAATGTCATGTTAGAACACAATTTTCTATTAAAGAACTCGAGGTTAACAATGATGAGCATGTAAATACCTGAATGGTGACGGTAGTTTGCTGGTCCTGGTAAGTGGTGAACACCTGAGACTTTTTGGTTGGGATAACAGTGTTCCTTGGAATCAATTTGGTCATAACTCCACCGACAGTCTCAATACCAAGGGTAAGAGGTGCAACATCCAATAGAAGAATTTCTGTAAAAGAAACAAAACTCAACTTAAGTCAGATATTCAAAAAAACTACTTTCACTGCAAGTTACATATTCAAACTAGTATAGTAGATATAGAGGAATAAGAATTGAAGTACCTTTGGTCTCTTCACCACCCTCTCCACTGAGAATGCTTCCCTGAACAGCAGCACCAAAAGCGACAGCCTCATCAGGGTTAACTCCCTTGCTGGGCTCCTTTCCATTGAAGAATTCCTTCAACAGCTGTTGGACCTTGGGAATCCTGGTACTTCCACCAACAAGAACGATCTCATCAATCTGGTTCTTTTCCAAACCAGCATCATCCATGGCCTTCTTGACGGGTCCCATAGTCTTCCTGAAGAGATCATTGTTCAACTCCTCAAAACGAGCCCTAGTGAGTGGCTCAGAGAAATCAATGCCATCAAAGAGAGACTCAATTTCAACACGGACTTGGTGCTGGCTACTCAAAGCTCTCTTGGCACGTTCACACTCTCTTCTCAATTTTCCAAGAGACCTGTTGTCCTTGCTTATGTCCTTGTTGTGCTTCTTCTTGATCAACTTAATAAAGTATTCCATGAGTCTCTGGTCAAAGTCCTCACCTATAGAACAAAAAACAAAGCATGTCAATTTGAAGAGTTCATTGAAGATCATATCACAAGCAATGAACAAATATATGTCAATAGTCATGATTCCTAGAGGCAATCTTACCTCCCAAGTGAGTGTCTCCGTTGGTTGCAAGAACTTCAAAAACACCATTGTCGATGGTCAAAACACTGACATCGAATGTCCCACCACCAAGGTCAAAGACAAGGATATTCTTCTCACCACCCCTCTTGTCCAATCCATAAGCAATGGCTGCCGCGGTAGGCTCATTAATAATCCTAGCAACGTTCAAACCAGCGATGACTCCTGCATCCTTGGTTGCTTGCCTCTGGGCATCGTTAAAGTAAGCTGCAACATATTTAACAACAGATATATAAGTAATCACTCGAATTTGTGAAACAACAAAGTCTCAGCAGTAATAACATTATTCAATAGACTATGGTCTCGAGATCTAACCAGGAACGGTGACAACAGCATCCTTGATTTTCTTTCCAAGGAAAGTTTCAGCTGTCTCCTTCATCTTAGTAAGAATCATAGCACTGATTTCCTCAGGGCTAAAAACCTTGGTCTCGCCTTCTTGAACCTTCACTTGGATGTAAGGCTTTCCTTCCTTGTTCACAATCTTGTAAGGCACAAGCTTCATGTCCCTTTGGACCTCCTTGTCCTCGAATCTGTCAAACAAAATATCATCAGATAAGCACAAAACTTGGATAACTGCATCTAGTAGTGAAGTAGAAGAGGGGGAACTTACTTTCTTCCAATAAGCCTCTTGACATCAAAAATAGTCCTCTCGGCGTTAGCAGCTGCCTGATTCTTGGCAGCCTCACCGATCAACCTCTCGTCATTGGTGAAGGCCACCCATGATGGAGTGATACGGTTACCTTGATCATTTGCTATAATTTCAACTTTACCATCTTTGTACACACCAACACATGAGTAGGTGGTACCAAGATCAATTCCAATAACTGTACCGAGCTTAGGAGCTTCATCTTTCGCAATAACGAAAGCAAATAAACTACCTGAAAGTTATTTCAAAACAAAAGAAATTTTATGTTAAGTCAGTTGCATTCGGGAACATTTACTGTGTAACACTTTATATTAAAGTAAACAAACATGCATATACCCTGTAGCTTCCTAAAGAAAACATATTTTATGTATTGCAAAACTTATTTTAATCGAATTTTAGCACTAATCGTGCACTTACTACAACATCAGCCTCTCAAATATCACTTATTATTTTTCAAGTAATCATATATTACATTTTATTCATTCATTCGAATCAAGCTAAGCATTTCCAAATGTTAACATGGAAACATTTTCATCAACATTATCTTCAATTAATCAGAAAGTTAAATCAATAAATTGCCGGATTAGCACTCTTAAATCAACAAAACATGAAATAATACTAAACTAGCTATGATAATCGAAAAGTTCATATTCTATGTTATATGAAAACATCACCAAATTCACATCAACAAACAAATGTTCCATAATTAATTCGTATTATCTTCAATCAATCACGAACTAAATCTACACAGATTCAGATTCACTCATCAAACTAATCAAAACACAGACCAATTACAAACATAAATATATTCAGCTATCTTACGTTCGATTTTCACATTACATACATATATCATTCCAAATTGCATCGAAAAATTTATAGATCCAACCAAACTTTTTAAACTTGCGACTTCTAGTTGAAACTTACAGATTCAAGCTCATACACTTATTTTTCAGTGAGATCGCAATATTACTGTTTCATGACAACTAATTACTGAAAACTAACACATCAGATCTACATTTAATGTCGCAAATCAAACGATCAATCACTATCACACTCTCACTCTCATTCCTTAATTCAAAACGATCCGAAATCATAAACCAAAAACAACATTCAACAAACAAAATCACATCATTCAAATTCAAATGCAGTTCAAATCTCAACTTATAAAAACTCAATTACATCATAAAACTACAAAGATCTGGAGAAAGTAAGCTCACCGAACAAGATGATGCCGAATGCGATCGACGATGCGCGTGAATTCCACGCTCCCGCCATTATCTTCGCCGGTGAAATAAAACGACGTAGTTTAGTTTTTCCGACGCTTCTTCTTCTCCTTCTTCAGGTAGTTGCTTTGTGTTTCTTCTCTTCACAGAGGTTCTCTTCTCTCTGAAAAGAGAGAGAAAGGCTATTTATAGAGTGAAGAGGAGGAGAGAGAAAGTGAAGTTGGGACGTGTCAGAAATGGTGACGTGGACCAATAGGAATGCGAGGATGGTGTTGTTAGCCAATCAGAAAATTTTGGAGAGTTTGTGTGGGAGTCTGATGTTTTTTTCTTTTTTTAGTGGGAATGGAGTTTGATTGAAGAAGGAATTTGAAACGAACAAAGCGTCATTGAAATGACGTGGACCAATGAGGTTTTGAAGATTTGTTACGTGGACCAATAAGTTGAATTTGTTGGTTGGGTTGATCGTGGCCGTTGGTTTTTAGATCTGATGGATGGGAGAAGTGGTTCTAGTTTGAGAGTCAATCTTGAGAATTTGAACGGGCCAATTCTCCGTTTCACTTTCACATGATATATTGGGCCTATGGCCCTATGGCTATCGAATTGGGTTTCACTCTTGAGTCTTGACTCTTGACACTCTTGACGAGGAAATAGTAATGTAGGTTAATATATATATATATATATATATATTTCCACCCGGTTACCTTTTTGACTAATCCGGATTCGATGATCAGTTCTGGATAATTAGGTTCCAGTCTCCTCCCAATTGTTGTTGTGGGGGATCGAACACATGGTCCTCCCTACCAAGTATAGTCTCAATTACCACTATACCAACATCCAATTGGTACGTAAGTTGGTTATATATGGGCTACTACATAACAATATTAAGGTCAGTGTAAAAATAATTTAAACTTAGTAAAAATAATTTCAATTCAGCAAAAATGAGGTGAAGTGAACAGGGACTAAAATATACAGAGTAATAAAAGTGCATGGAAGAGAAAGAAAAAAGTGATGTGGACCCCACCATCATGTGAAATAAATGAAAATTATGATGGGACCACACTCTAACTGTTACAAGTCTTACAACTGGAATCTCATGGAATTTTATTTAAGTAATGCTAAGAGTTTATCTAGTACCACTATAAACATGTATTGTACCAGTGAATATACAATAGTATTACTTGACCATCCGATGAGGACAACACTCTGATGGTACCGCTAGAAGCTTATAAATATCATTGGAATTTTATTTAAGTATCATTGAGAGTGTATTTAGTACCGCTACAAGCATATAGTACCACTAAATAAATACAGTGGTATTATTTGACCAACTATTGATACCACTCTAAATCCATGGACATACTACGTAAAGTTTTGTGCAAAATTACTTAAATGCCCCCGGTTATGCATTTGGCCATCCATAACCATTATCCTTTTGAAATGCCTCTACTCTTGATCTAACTGGATCAATTTTTCCTTACATGACAATTTTACTACTTCTTCCATCACTTTTTTTACAGTTACATGTGGTTTTAATCAAGGATAAAAATAAAAAAAATAAAAAAAATAAAAAGTCTTTGGGAGTATGCATAATAAAAATATTTGTCTTGGGATTATGTAAATATTTTGGTAAATGGAAATATTTGTTTTGAAAAATGAAAACAGTTCATCTGAGAATGTGTAAATATTTTGATAAATGGGAATAGTTGCATTGAAAGTAGATAATATCATAACAAGTAAGAAGTGTGGAAAGAAGGTTTTTTTTGTGTGGCTGGCCACACCGCGTGGTCGAGATTACTCGAGTTACTCGATTAGGGGTTACTCGAGTTGCCGGGGATACTCGAGTTACCCGGTCAGGGGTTACGCGACTTACTCCTGACCACGCGAGTAACCCCTTAAGTAACCCTTGACCGAGTAACCTCTTGAGTAATCCCTGACCGAAACCCTTAAGTAACCCTTGATCGAGTAACCCCTGACCGAGTAACCCCTCAAATAACCCCTAACCGAATCCTTAAGCAACCCTTGACCGAACCCCTTAAATAACCCCTGACCGAGTAACCCCTTAAGTAACTTTTGACCGAACCCCTTAAGTAACCCCTGACCGAGTAACTCGAGTAGCCCCTGACCGAGCAACTCAAGTAACCCTTGACCGACTAACTCAAGTAACCCCGGCCACACGGTGCGGCCAGCCACATATAAAAATTTGTGGTGTGGAAACATGTGGTAAAGGTAAAATTAGTATTTTGTTTTAGGAAGGTTTTAAAATGTAACCATAAAAAGCATATGCTGAAAATATATTTAGTTTGGGTTTGGGTGGAGGTTGGAATTAGGAAGAATTTTAGTTGCAAGAGTAGATCGGCCCAACCCTTTTTCCGAGGTTGGATAAAATTTTCACCAAAGTTTGCCCCCCTATGATCAAGTCTACATCTAGGTCTTTGTTTGAAATAAATTTTAATAAAGTGTTTGTAGGTATCAAGTCAATAACACAATTAACATTAAGAAATTGAATACTTGAAAATCTAATTGATGTTAAACAAACCTTAATTTAACATTATAATTAAGAATCTCAACCGCAATCTCTTCCATTGTTGGTACATGACTATACAACTTATAATTGATCTAGTGATTAGAGCTATAACAAAACCCTCACCCAGCAACGATGAACCTAAAACCTATGGTACGAAAATTCAATTCAAACCAAATCGATTGTACTCCGTAACATCTTAATTTTAAGTAAATTGCTTGTATCCATAATATAAATCGAATGACTAGATTAATCTTGACTCGCAAATTGAATGTCTTAATCACACCTTGACCAAAACACATGATAAAACGAAGTCCAAACTTGACTCAAACGCAAAATGATATTTCATTCGAACTTGACCCAAACTAAAGTTTGCTTAAAATGAATGGACTTAAATTAGTCACATACCAAAGGTGATGAAAATCATACTCTCTCCATTTTGTAATAATCGCAATGGTATGGTGAGCACAAAGTTTTAGGAAATTCGTAGAGTGGGGATATATTGAATTGTAAATTTGAGAGAGAAATAATTAAAAAGTAGTGTAAGTGGGGTTGGTAGAAGAGAGAAAAAAAAATTTAGTGGGTGTTTACCAAATATTGTAAGAAAGTGTTGTGATTATTATAAAACGGAGAGAGTATCAAACTAGAATCACTAAATCAAACCAAATTGTAAACGAAAAAATTTGTGTAGAACGGACTCACCGTGAGTCCGCCTACACAAATACACTTCCCCTAATTTCATACAACACTCCCCAATCATGCCATCATTCCTCTCCGACGATGAATTCGAGCGATTCAAAGCCTCCGGCGACGCTTCTGCTGTGGCGTTGAAGGCGGAATCCAACATTCGCGGCCTCTACGCGAACCTCGAGACTGTAAAAGCCGAAGTCGATACCGACTCCATCACTGTCAAGCAGGCTTGAATTTGCTGGAAGTTCTAATAGAAGATCGTCGATTCCGCCACAGAATGTGTGGAATTCGTCGATTTTCGGCAACGAAGTTAGTAGGAAGCCTGGGCAGCGTTTGCTGTTACGACATCAAGGAATGTTCGGGTGCCATGTGCTGTAGTGATTAAGTCGAGGAAAGCTTTGAGTGTGAGTTTGGAGGGGAAAGTGTCGGATGAAGATGAATAGTCAAGGCTTGTTAGAGATGATGTGAAATATGAGGGTTGAGGAGAGAGAAAGTAATGTAGCCATGGAAGAAGAGGGTCACTGGTGAAGGAGAGATGAATGGAGAAGAAGTAACGACCTAAAAATATTATTGTCATATATTAGAATATTATTGTCAGATACATATTGGATTCACGGTGAGTCCGGTCGTCTCATGCAAAACCTTCTCAATTGTAAAATCATGTGCTTAAACTTGTAATTTTTTTTTAGGGAGTTTTTTTTTAGGGAGCTTAAACTTGTAAATAATACTCCCTCATTTTTTAAATACTTGCTCCATTTCTATTTTTTGCACTATTCATTTGTCCTACTTTGACTAATGTTTGTGATTTATAATATAAGAAAAAATATAATTTTGTGGGTACTTGTTGGAATCGTCTTGATGAATAGATTATTAATTTTTAATTGTTAGAATTTATATTTATTGATATTTAGAGATATTATTGATCAAAGATTAGCATCGGCATACGTTCCCAAGAGAAATGGAGCAAGTATTTAAAAATAGAGGTAGTATCAAATATGTTGGGCTAAATCGACAATTTCGAAAATTTTCAAACCAGACAAGAGTGTGTGTTTAAAAGGTGTTTTTAAAACTACCCAAAACCCATATTTTTCTAAGCCTGGTTAGATCAGGTAAACGTACTTAACCATTGTTGATCACCTCTATCGTACGTCTACACGAGCCAATAATCCGATGTGCAATTGACCCGACCTGCACATCATATTGTACATCTTAAGAAGAGTACCAAGGAAGCCAAGATACGAAGTAGTCACAATCACAAAAAACCAATTCTATAATTGGCGCTCATTTTCTTCTCCCACACTACATTTTTCAAACACCCAGTGCGCCCCTCACTCACCACCTTCCTCCCTCTCATCCGCCATGGATGAACAAACTCAAGCTTCATCTCTCCTCTCCAAGCTCGAAACCTACGAATTCGCCGAAATCTACACTCATTTCTCCGAATTCCTGCAACCATTCTCTCTTCTCAATTCCACCAAACCTCAAAACCCTAGCAAAAAACCCTCTCGCAGCAAAAAACCCTCACAATCTTCCCCTTCTTCGTCAATTAGGTCACTTGCGAAGACATTTCTACCTTTCGTTAATCGGTCTCTTTCTCTCCTCCCGAAACGGCTCTCCGAATCTCCAAAACATCCGAAAACTGGCGAATTTGTGGCTCAATTGCTCGATTGTTACAAATTGTGCTTAGATTGTTTGGATGTTTTATCGTCCGAGCTTTCGGGTAAGCTGTATTGTGTGCATTTGCAGAGAGGTAGGTATGTACATTGTTTGATTAGGTGGGAGAGGTATGGGGATGCTATCAATGAAGGTTTTAGGGTTTTGAAGGACATTGGAGGGGTTAAGCTTGAAGGGCCTGGATGGAAGGTTTCGAAAGGAGAGCTCGTTCCTAGGTTAATCGTTGTCGATGGCGATAATAATGGAGGAGTGGAGGAGGATATTGTGCACCTAGTTGTGGATTTGGTTGTTGCTGTTGCACAGTCTGTATCGTTGAGTAAAGTTAAAGATGCTGGGAAGTATACTGGTTTGTTGATTTTGCACGACGAGGCTCGCCCGTGGTTCAGGTGTGTGATGTTGTTAATCTTAGAATTTAGTTCAAAGGTTGTTGTTATTGAATCAAGTTTTACTGGAATTGTGGATGATGCTGTTTCTAGAGGTTAAATGTTCAACACCTGTACCCTTTTCTCTTCAACTGTTTGTTTATGAATTGAAATGATATGTGTTGAATTCACCCAAATTGGATTTTGTTGAAACTAATATACCTCGTATATAAGTCTATGTTTAGATGTAAATAGCAGAAAGATGAAATATAACTGGATTTAAAATTATGCAACAGTGTGTCAGCGCGGATATAATCACAGGCTAAATAAGCATTTCAAAAATTTTGGGGTAGTTTTAACTTTTAAGAGGCTAGAACTCCAATACTTGTTAATTGAAGTCTGGTAATGCATTTGACCGGGTTGCGTAGTTTGAATATAACTATGAAGTTATATGGTGACTTGCCTGTCATATACAATAAAACAGCATGGAAGGGGTTGCTGGGTCTTGAAAAGAGCTCTCTTTCAGATGTTGACAAAAATTCTCTTTTACGGTGTGTTTGGATCGAAGGAAATGGAGGGAAATGAAGGGAAGGGAAATAGAGTGATGTGATATCTTTCATTTGGTTAACAAATGAGGAAGGAAGGGAATTGGAGGGGAGAGAAACGGAGAGATTAAATTGTAGGAAAATGATCCCTCTAACAATGGAGAGATTTGGAAGGAAAACTCACCATTATTCCTTCCCCTTCTTTTCCTTCCTCTTTCTTAATCCAAACACACTGTTAGAGTTTTAGGTGATGTACATGATATGGTGTAAATTGATGATTTACATATTTAATCCTGCCCTCATTGAAGTATTTGTTGGTGCTTATAGGCATCTGGAAACTAGTGTATGCAGTAAGCTGCAATGGAAGCTATTAGCTCACATGAAGAATGTTGCGCTGTTTTTGGTTAGAGAAGTTACACATTTTAATGGGGATTTGGTACCTGATTTCTGTGCTGCTGTATTCAACGAGTATACACAATTATTGAATGCTCAATGTATCCAGGTGATCTATCTGTTTGTTACTTTTGTGATCAATTTAGCTATAGAATACTGGCTGTCTTGCTTGAAAATGCTTTGCGAACAGTCTTGTGATGCTATATATAACCTAATACTTGTCAGTAACTACTCATTCCTCCTTCGTTTTCAAGTTAGGGTACAACATTTTTATTATGTGCCCTACAATCAATAGCAGTTTAGGGATACAACTAATTAAGTAAACTGACAGCAATGTCAATTTAATTTTTAGTTTGACCTACAATAACAAGTGTCAACGTAAAATGGCTGCTACAGTTACGCAATCGCGCACTCAAAATGAATCTCAAACCAAAATGTACTACAAGGGCTTCATTTAAGTCCTTGTCCCTCGAAGAAATGATTAGCTGCTCAGAGATGATATCACCTAATTACTGGGATAAATCATAGTCTTAGCTTTATTTTTCCTGGATCTAGCTACATGTGATAATAATTAGGTCCGCAGTCTGCTACATGAGTCCTTCGTCTTCTTCACTACTATCTCTAATGCTCCAGTAGCTGCTCTACTGGAAGTTTTATGGGAATTGAATATCTCTCTTTTAGCTACTGGCTTAGCGTAATTGGCAGAGCCTTGACTTGCTGGCTTTTCCCTCCATATCTGGCCTGCTGCACGAACCTAAATTTCTCTAATGCACCATTCTATGTTACTCTCTTAAACCAAACTATTATGATTGTGATGTAAAAATCTCCATTTAGGAATATATTTCTTTTTAACATTAATAAAGAAAGACACATTAAGTACTCTCAGTAGCTTTAACAACCAGTACTAGTTTACCTCTGTTGTCGGGAGCACTTTGCTTTCTGTCTGTGAGAGTTTAGTGAGGTGTTGGATATGTTGAAAATATATCAATAATCTGTTTTTGAAGCCTTATAAAGTCAGCTTGCTTGAGTTTAATTACTTAAATTCCAAATTATGAACAATGTCATTGTTGTTTTAAGCTAATATACTTTTTTTTATAGGGGACAACAATGGAGGAACAAGAAGAATTTGTAAAATTTGTATCAAATTGTACATCCAAATGTCGGTCAGCATGCAAGAATGTTCGGGTCTCCGTTGCTATGCATTTGTACAGATCTGCAGACAATTTTTCTCAGGTTCATTGTTTGAAATCCTCATATAAATCTAACATAAATTACATAATACTTTTTATAAGAATGATTATTCTTATAGCTGAAATTTTGATGTTGCTTGTATCTTTTTTGTTCTGAGCAGGGTTTTTTATACTTCTTACTTATTCAGAGATTTCATGCTTTGGGGCTATACTTCTATGAGTTATGTTTTGAATCAAACAATTGTATGTCTTCGACTTCAGGGGGCTCAACAGGTACTCATTCTGTGGGATTTTTTCCCAATGATTGGGATAAGCTAAAAGATTTATCATGTTTGCTGAGTAATGGCAAGAAATACTACCCTTCTCACTTAGAGGTCTATGACAACCCGCTAAGTCATGATTTCAGGGATTATGTTGAGAATGCATCTATAAGTTCTAGAGCTGATTGTAAGATTTCTAAATCCTTTAAGTCAACAAATGGGGAAGAAAATCTATCTTTTTATCTGAATGCCTTGAAGTTCCTATGTTGGCCACTTGCTGACTTTGTAACTTCAGAAAGAAAAAGGATAGTTGTGGAAGACACAGAATCCCCCCTAGGAGATGCATTGAAGCTTATCCTGGAGGCATTCCTTGAATACAGCTACCTCTTTCCTCATTGTCAGCAGTAAGTAGCAGCTACTAAGTTGATCCTTCTCTTTATTTCCTCTGAGCTACCTGCTTTCTGACATTCTGGTTCTGGAAAGGAGAGTGGTGTTGTAAGTTTTTAAAAGCTGCATTATTTCACACGCTAGTTTATGACATACTAAAGATCTGCATGCTCATCCTCATTCTTTATTGTTTCTTCTGAATTCAAAAGAGAAGAAAAGTTGCTCTAATTTCCTGCTCTAGCAATATATCTTGTTGAACTAGCTGCATTGACTTTTGTATTGCCTTTTATGTATCTTAAATTTGGTCATACACATTACAGGAATAGCGAATCTCGTGTTGAAATTGACATGATTGTGCTTAACATCTCTGTGGCTTGTTTTACTCTCTCCCTGAAGCTAAATCTCATCACCGAGGTATCTTGATGGCGAGCTGATGTATTACATGCTTATATGCAACTATTTTGTCGAAAGATACAATAGTGAAGCTCTTTCTTTTTATTGGCTAATTTCCTCTGCTCCTGTAATTTCAGGGAAGTACAAGGCTTGTAAATTATATTCTCTCTGATAAGTGTACTTCATTGTTACGGCCTCACATGCTGAAGTACATCATAGCCATGCTTCACAACAATTTTGTCGAATTCTACAGACATGAACAATTTAAAGAGGTTTTTATTTTTTTATTTTAATTTTTTCTCAAATTTTTTTTAATTAAAAAACCTTCTGAATTGATAATTCTGGTGGTCCAACAGGTTTTTCCCTTTATTTTAATTTGGTTCACAATTTCGTTTTACAATTTAGGGAGTGTCTTAAGAATTTATATACCTATTCAAATCAATGGGTTAGTTTTAGTGTGGATTTAGATTTTGTTGTGGTAACTATGTTGCAACTAATAATATTTCTGGAATCTCATTTAGTAATTGCCTATAAATTAGAAGATTATCTTTGTTTTTTATGTCCTTGTGCTGTTGTTGATATGTTGGTGAGGATGATGTTATAAGCTGTTGTTCAGTATGTGTTAAATGACCTACCATGCAACCTACCCTCTTTATTATTATTATTATTATTATTATTATTATTATTATTATTATTATTATTATTATTATTATTATTATTATTATTATTATTATTATTATTATTATTATTATTATTATTATTATTATTATTATTATTATTATTATTATTATTATTATTATTATTATTATTATTATTATTATTATTATTATTATTATTATTATTATTATTATTATTATTATTATTATTATTATTATTATTATTATTATTATTATTATTATTATTATTATTATTATTATTATTATTATTATTATTATTATTATTATTATTATTATTATTATTATTATTATTATTATTATTATTATTATTATTATTATTATTATTATTATTATTATTATTATTATTATTATTATTATTATTATTATTATTATTATTATTATTATTATTATTATTATTATTATTATTATTATTATTATTATTATTATTATTATTATTATTCTTGTCTGAGTTAGTTGCTCCTGGTTATGTCAGGGGAAGTGTAACCTTCTCTTTTCACTTTCATGATGCTGACCTGTTTAGTAATTTTCCATGCAGGCCTTTGATGCTTTAGAATTATGTTCTAGAGCATCATGGAATCGCTGTTTACTTCTGTGCGAGATACATGTGGGCAAGCAGAAGGGAGTTGATGGAGTGGTATCGGAAAATATGATTGCTGAGTCTGTGAATGAGGCATGCAAAGTTGGTTCTCTTCTTATGGACATTGACCATCGTATTGATAGCGGTAAAGTGGAGAAGGCAATAGATAGCGGACTTGTAAAGTGGTGCCTTGCCAAAAACCTTTTAGGGCAGCTCCCTTGTCCTGTGACATTGATAAAACACTGGGCTAAGGTGATTTTTTTTTTTTTTTTTTTTTTTTTTTTTTCCAGTTAGCTCTTGCTACTAATCTCATCTACTTTTGCAGGTACAGTGTAAGTTGTATAAGAATACCAAAGATGATGCTCCAATCTTGGGTTATAATCTCCTCCAATCTCCTTGCTTGGCAAAAAACAATATTTCATCTGAAATTGTTGGGACCGTTTTAGAGCAGGTTTGACGTTTTATCTTCAATTCTTTCTAGTATTTTCTGCTATCTTCTTGCTCATCTCTGTATAATGTTTTAGAGTACTGCTTGAAATTTATGTTTCAGGAACTTTCAGCTTACCATGAGATGAGCAACTTGTATCCTATATTTTGTCAGAGAATGCAAATGAAATTAATTGACACCCTCTTGAAGAAATTGTATATATCTAGCAAGTGCTTGCAGAGATCGACTATTCTAGTCAAGAAAGGATTGTTATTAAGGACCTTTGGAATTGAAAATCTGGACAATTGTATCTGTTGTTTGTCAAAAGCAATTGAATCAGTTGTGAGTTACATCACTCTGCTCTTTGGTCAATCCATCATTTACTATATGGACTAATTTTTATTTATTTTTTTTCCTTTTTTTCCTTTTTTTTTTCTCTCTTTTTTCTGATATGAATTAGTTTATTCAACAGAATGGCATGTCTGGTGATAAGGTGTATAATCAGTTAGCTGTTCTGTATTGTTTGCGTGCGCTTTCCAGTCATGAAGCTGACCCAACATCAAAGGTCTGTTTTCTACTTAAAAATTCATGCTTCCAGACTTGGGGCAAAGGTATTATTTTCAAATTGGAAATGTGCCTGGGTCCTTTTATTAATTTCATCTTAATTCGTCCTTTGGGCAGGATATGTTTAGAGATATCAATGAAGCTGTAGACCTATGGTTGACGACTATTGATGTTCTTTGTTGCTCTTCTAGTGGCAATTGTGAGATGGGATGTGAGTATGTGTTGCAGCTTCTATATCACATTGCTGACTTATTATCCATCAAGGTTTGCTGATAAATCATTAACAGAATCTGGCTTTCTTCATTTCTAACTTTATGGTTCCATTAACACTATCTCCTGATTATGATGTTTGCTTCACTGCCAGGGCGATGCAACTCTTCATGCAAAAGTACTATCTGTAATCATGAAAGTGTGTAAACAGTTGAATGTCCCACTGGAGAAGTGTCTGTCACTATTGTGGGAGTCGCGAAGGGTTAACCATGCACTATGTGCTGTACCCGTTAATGAGGCATTCATCGAGGCTCTTTCAAAACATTATGGTAAAGAGGCGGAGTCTCTTGAATTCTGGATTGGTAGTTTTAAAGATTCCCAGCCGCTATTAGTAGGGCTTCAGCAAAATTTCTCGTTTTTGTCCTCTCTTTTCCCCCTTGCTTTCTATCAACACAAGCATTCTTTACAGTCCGAGATCTCTGTTGATGAAGTGAAAAAAATTGCATCGAACCTTCTTTCAAATGTAAGGTTCATTGTTAGATTAAAAAATTATATTTCAATACAAGTACTATAAATGACTGCCTATTTATGTTTACTTTTTGCTTAGGTTTCTGTATCTCGTAGCTCTGCTTTTCTAGCTGGATATTTATACCATGATTTGAGTGAATGGCTTTGTGCTGGTGGAAGGATTATTGAGGTATGTTTAATACACGGAATTATCACCCAAATCCTCTATAGTCTGTTGTATATCATCTCTGGTAGATTTATTTGTTGTTTATTGTTAAACTTTGTACTCTTCTGGTGACAGGCAGTTTTTGACTGAATTAGACTGCTTGATGTTTAAGCTTACTATTTATAATGGATTCTGGTTATCAGCATTATTTATCTTAAATTATTAGGACTGTCTCAACTCTCTTTCATGCTTTTTTCATCATAATTAAAGATAGGTGAAGGACAAGATTTTTGTCATTGAACTCAAAAAAACTATCTTTTCTCTTGATCTAATCAATATATTATCTCTCTTGTGCTTGTAGGCATTTTTTTATGCAAAAGAAGCTCATCGGTTGCGTGGTAAGCTGTTGCAAGAGCATTTTTCTTGCTCAATTCAACAAAATGATGAAAACCAAGGGGAATCTATAAGGAAATCATCAGCTATTGTTAGTCAGCTCTCTGTGTTGAATCAAATAGCTATTAGAGCTTGGCCCGCTAAATCTGTTGCACCGTCTTTAGACAGCTCTTCTCTTACCCCTTGGAATGTGCTTCGCTGTTATCTTGAGAGCACGCTGCAGGTTTCCAAATCTTTATTTTGACTGTGTATGTAATATTTGAAGTAGCATTACTAGAAGTTTGAATTTTTAATGTTACACCATGTTTTCGCTGTCGGTTTATATGTTAGGTTGGTATAATCCATGAAAGACTTGGAAATGTTGCTGAGGCAGAAGCTCAGTTTATATTAGGCAAGAGTATCTCCTGCTTGCAGTGCCTGCCCCGGTTCATTTTCAGATTTTCCTCTTGTTTAGGTATGTGATTAAACTTTTGTTTTTATTTATTTTTTAATTATGTTTTGTTTGAATATTGTTTTTCATTATCATTGGAGATTTGGTATGATGACTGTAGTTCTTGGACATAATACAGGGAAAATATACCATGGTATGGGCCTTTTGGACTTCGCATCCACAGAATTATCAGTGCAAAATTTGGATGTTGAAAGGAACTCTCTGACTTGCTCAAGGTGTTTACTCATGTTGGAAAGTGATATAAATGAACTTGGTAATTTGCGTAGAAAAGTTGTCAATTGTGCTCCAGGAAATCCTTATGAATCATCTATTCTAAGTCTGTTATCACTTGAGGGAGCCAGTGTAGCACACTCTGTGCATGAATGTGATGCTGCTATTTCAGGCGTTGACACTATATCAAGGCCTACAAAAGCAAAAGCTAAAGTGGAAGCTAAAAGGTCTAGGAAGACAAAAAAGGAACTAGAAACTCAGGTAACTGCTAATTCCTGTGTAGCTGAGCAGAATAAAAGGGTAACTCGTTCTAGAAAGCTGTCTCCTAATGCCAAAAGCGCTGCCTTTGTCAAAGACGGAAAGAATGTTACAACTTGCCAGACCAATGGCCAGCTGGAAACTGAAGAAGCGATTGTTTCTAAGAAAATTTCATGCCAGAAATGTTTTTCAAGCGAACTTAATTTATTTGGTTCTCTAGCTTGTTTTACTCAAATGAAGTGGGAGTTTGTACGCCGGCAACAAATACTGAGACTACTCATTGAATTAGGTATTGTTCATTTCTTATTCTTATTGTCTTTAGAAATACAGGTCATGAAGCTGTTTTGTATATCTTACTTTAAATCTATGTTGTTGATTAATACTTTTATATTAATAATTTAATATTGAGAATACTCATTGGCCTAGCTATGATTCAATTCATGTTCTTATAGTCAGTAGAAACCCATGTCAAAAGAATTATTTGTATATGTTACACAGTCACTTATTAAAGCTTGTTGATTTTATTCATATTGACATGATGATTCTTGTGTATTGATATACTGTACATTCAAGCAAAGTATAACAGAGCTTTTGTTCTCCTCCTTTAAGAGGTCTTGGCTTACTGAATAATTTTGTAACTTGAACTTCAAATATTAGGTTTTTGAAGTGAAATATACCGAGTAATTTTGTTTCACGTCAACATAAATTGGCATAGATGTGTAGAATGGAACTTAGATTTAAAAAAGTGCGCCTGAGGCGCAAGGCACAGTGAGGCTCATGAGCTGGCGACTTAGCTCTGTGAAGCTCAAAGACCTACAAAAGGCGCGCGCCTATGCCTTTTTTTTCCAAGGAGGTTTCTTGTGCCTCATGTTGTAAGGCATCTATAACTAACGTGTAAGATATTTTTTTTAGAAAAAAACATCACAAGACTTTGTGACTGGCAGGTTTACTTTAATTCTAAACCCGAGAGAATTCTCATATCCCCCAATTCGATTTGAAGAACCCTAGCTATCAATCACATGGTCCATTCAGGCTCAACTTTTCTCACAACTCCTTCTTTAGACTAATTTAATAGAAATTAATACATTTTTAATATTAATGAAGTACACCTCACCTACAAAAGGCCTACTTCTTCGCCTTGCGCCTAGGCTCTATGGATATTTGCGCCTTGGTGCGCCCTTTAAAACTAAGGAATGGAATGGGTGGGAAATCTTAAAGAAGTTAAAATTAATTGAAGATGACCTTAATGGAAGGGGTGAAATAAACATGAAAGACATGGTTTTCAGGTCAGAAACTCTTGGAGATGTCGTCTTGGTTCGTGTAGTCGACCCCATACTTTTGTGATCATGGCTCTGATGTTTTATATGTCGTCATACATCAGCATTTTTTTTAATTGTATATAGATTCACATTTTTTGGCCAATTTCCTTTTTATTCTTTTCCTTTTGGTTGTCATTTGGTCTGTGTAGGCTTGTTTGATGCATAGTGCAGTGTTTTTTATTTTTATTTTTTTCCTACCCATTTTTCAAATCAAACATAACAACTTGTTGTAAATTTAGTTTTTGTGGTCCCTTGTTATTTATTTGTATTACATACTGTAAATGATTACTGAGACTTCTCTATGTGAATAGATTTTCTATACGTTGGTTTCATATTTAGTCAACTGGAACTGCCTGGAAGGTTAGTTGGGAAAGGAGTTTGTAAAAGAATTTATGCTTTTCATGAAAGAAGGGGCTGTTTGATTATACTTGGTCTACTACTTTAAATCCAATGCCTGTTAACATGCCAGCTACTATCGTAAAAAAAAAAAAAACAAAAAAAAAAAACATGCCAGCTACTTGGATTAATCCTTCTAGCAAACATCAAGATGTTAAGCCATTGCCGTCATGGCGTCGCATTATATATTACTTCCTCCGTTCACTTTAGTTGCAAGCTTGCACCGTTTTATTTTCACACTTGCCAATGCATTATTTTAATCCTTAATATCTTTAATAATAGATAAATGTGATATTGTGAAAGTATAAATTGAGACGAATCTAACAGGATCCTATATAAATATATTTTGCTTAACATATCCATAAAAAAAGGGGATCAAATGAAAGAAGGTGAATGTAAATTTGCAAGTGTTGCAACTAAAAGTGAACGGAGGAAGTATGAAACATGTTTACAGCTCCTTTATATAGTTTCTATACAAGGAATATCATAACCTATGCAAGTTAACCCGAGTCTCTATATTTATGTAATTCTATTTTTGTTTCTGTTGCTAGGGAAGCGTCAGGGAGCTTTGGCTGGAACTCATAGATTGCACACTGTATACTCTAAATGCATATTTATATTGCTGGGAGGAAATGATTGTCATTGTTCAAGCTGTACTGTTCTAGATTTTGATTCTATCAGCAAGGAGATTGCTGGAGATATTTTGGTTAGCGAACGTGCAGAAGTGTTGTACAATATTTGTTTGCTTTCCTTGAAAGCTTTGTATTCTGAGGACATCAGGTATGGCAGATGCTCAATTTTACAATTTACCCTTGCATAGACAGCATATGCATTTAAGCTCGAGTATTACATCTACCACCACTTTGCACATGATAAAAAAATTTGGGTAGTTGTCTGGGGGACCCATTTCAAGATAATAAAAGTACAAGAAATGGGTATTATTTTGGAGACTATGATCTTTTGTTCGCATCAATTTTATATGTTCTTATACATTTAATTTGTGATTTAGATTTAAGGCTTTGTGCTAGTTGTTACTTGAAATTTAAAGAGTCCATAATTTCAAAGGATTAAGATTTTGGAGACTATGATCTTTTGTTTGCATCAACTAACTCGATTTGATCTGGTTTCTTTCTTCTTAAATAGCAGCACTGTTTTGTCATTGTCAGTTCAGAGTACTATGGGTTACCTTCCATTACTTATGCTTAGATTTCACATGAATTATCTCCTGATTTATTTTGAGGGATCGTGTTTGATTTTTCTGTAATATTATTCCCAAGTTTGGTGGATGGTGAGTGGGTGCAGTGACAGTTATCATCTGTTTCTATTGGTCACAAATATCTCAGTCACTATACAGTTGGACTTATACTTTATTATCATTGCAAAAGTGCTGTGTGAGTTTATCTTAGCTTTGCCTAACCTTGTAACTAGGCACTGATGTGATATGACCATTTATTAGTGGTGAGATTTTTTGGGAACAAGGAAGAATTTGTGGAACATAGTGCTGTAACTAGTCTCTAAATAGTTTGGTGTTTTCTTATACTGTATTTCTATTTCCATATTTAATTTTGGAATCCAAAAGATTACAGTGCATTTGATTATGGCCTGTGGGCAATTGGATGCTGATGATTTGATTAATTTGTGGGAAGCCAAAACTTTCTAAGGGGTTTTTCTTTTTATAGTTAATTAATCTAGGTGCAATTTTCGACCAAGTCTCAAGGATATCTGTTAGGAATTTCGACTTTACTTTTTCTAGGGGCTTGTTTGTTAGGCAGAGTTGTAGAGAGACACTTTAGGAGGGGAGGCTGTAGTCGACTGCTTTATTTTTGATATTTTTGGCATTTTGCTGTGGTCGCTAATTTCATGAAAGATCATTAGCAATGTTTTCCTAGTTATAATTTTAATTTAATGTGGACGTGCCAGACTCTTGTTTGTCAGGTAAACTCTGGGGCTCTGGGCGATCTATAGGAAGATTCTAGTCTTGAAGGGATGAAAATGCTTGGTGGGAAAGTACTTGTACCTTGCTGTTACTGATGTAGACTTGCTGTTTTTACTCATTCATTTATCTGTGGAAGAGTTTACTTTTAAGGCATTGTGTTCAATCAACCTTGTTTGCCATCCTTCTGTGTTCTTAGTTGATGGCATGTGCTAATCTGTTGCAGGATCTGCATTGCTGTGTGATTAATAAAATTAGATAATGTTAAGACGTTGTGTTGACTTGCTATATTAGTATCACACCTAGTCTTCATTCAGATTTTCATATTATTATGAGATGCCCAAATATGTACCTTTGTTAGGAATATCAATAACTAACTGCAGTCCTATGCAACCTATTTTTTTCTTCTTTTTTTTAAATAATTAAATATCTAATTTTATTTTTATTTATTTTTTTAATTCCAGGACTGCTTGTTTTCCTTTTTGCTGCATCCAAATGTCTCATGTAATATCATTCCTAAAGCTATCGTTTGTGCTGAGTCGTGAGATTCCTTTGCTCTTTCAGAAGGTTTGCTTCCTAAACATATTTTTTGTACATGTATTTTTACAGTAAATTAATCATGTTATTTGCTCAAGGGTGGTGGAGAATTGGTGATTTATATTTTCTGATCCTCGTAGCTGGTTTAACATTAAAGCTGAGATTGAATAATGTTGGGCATTGTTCTTGATGATTTAAATCTGTTGAAGTGCAGAAAAAAAAAATCATTTATGAGTAATATTTTGGCATCAAAGTCTGTTTAAAATGTGTCTGAAATGAATTTCTAGATTTGCGGTTTTACCATGCTTTTGACAAGAACTTAGTTGTGTGGGAGTTTGCCATATGGAATTAAAACTCCATTTGAGATGACCCTGACTATATGTGTTAGCTAAATGACTATCGTCAAGGCTGCACTCTCCCCTGCAAGTGCTGACAGGTGAACTGTGTTGGTGGAGAATCGGTGATTCATATTGTCTGATTATTGGTTGTTGAATGGTTGAAGCATGAACTTGTCCTTGTAGTCTGATCTTTGAACGAAGGTGAAAAGGCAGGTTTAAACCTGCTTTAGCTTGCTTGTTTGTTATATGATGCTTTTGCCCTTTTTTTGGGTGTTAATAATTGTATATTAACAATGATAGGTGTCGAGACTGCTTGCTTTGGTTTATGTGGTTTCAGCTTCCAAGAAGAACTTCTCTTCCCTTATATCTTGCAAAGTGCTTTCAGAAAGTTATTGGGCTGCTTATTTTCATCAAGCCTCAGTTGGATCTCATCATGATTTGCAGTTACTTTCAGCCATTTCCTTGAAGCATAAATCCCAGTTGGTATCCAAAAATGAGGTATGCTGTGCACTTGTGCTGTAGTGACTCCTTAAGGATATTTCAGGTGTTCGGCCTTTTGGGTATAGACTGACAACTTATTTTCAATGAATGTGATGATGGGTTTACAAGTAACCATTGTTGTAGCTTAAAATGCCGTTTGTAGGTCCTATACCTAGGTACTTAATTTAGAGGTTAGGTCTCTGTGGATAAAGTAATCTGGCAAGAATTTCCTTTGGATAAACTTGAAACTCTTTTTTGTGTGCATAATAACAGCTTATTTTGTATTCAACATGCAATTTTCTTTTGTATTCAGAGTACTGGGCAAATTTCTGCTTTTACCTGTGCGTTCTCCTGTTCTGATACCATTATTCAGCATATTTATTGTGTTTTTGGATTAATTTATTTGGTCTTTTACCAATGCAGGGTTATGAAGCTGCTGATGCGACAAGCGTAACAGATACTTGCAAGTTGCTTAGGTATTGGTGACTCTTATATGCATTATTGATCTCATATATCATATTGGGTCAATCTTAACCTATCTGAAACTGAATCTCCCGTGGCAACATTTTATTTCAGGATTGTTCCTGAATCAACAAAAGATATGGAATCATGTGTGGCAAAGTTTTTTGAAAACCTTCCCAGTACCACAATAGTATGTGTGAGCATACTAGGGGCTTCTTATGCGAGCCTTTTAAAAGAATTGATGTGTTATCCTTCTACTGTTTATGGTTGGATGCTTTTGTCCCATTTTAATGCTGACAGTCAGCCAGCTGTGATAATGTTACCTCTAAGTACTGTTATCCAAGGTAACATCTTTCCTCAAAGGGGAATATTCTTTTAAATTTTAGTCAACATAGGGGTATCCTTATCAGGTTGCTAATTATTTGTTTTTGGGCTTGATAATTCAGAAGAAGAACCGGATACTAGCTGCTCAATCTTTGGTGAGAAGAATGTACTGAAGGAATGGTGCTCACCATGGGGCTCCAATGCCCTGGTTGATGACATAGCTCCTTTGTTTAAATTGATTTTGCGAGGAAATTACTTATCTTGCTCAAGCTTTCCTGAAGAACACACTGAAAAAAGCCGTGAACTATGGTGGACTTTGAGAGATAACCTTGATAAGTGCCTGCATAAGTTACTGCGGTAAGCGATTATTTAAAATTTTCAAATGGAGGCATGCATAACCCTGCTTAAGGAGCCTGTTGTACAAGTTGGTTGTAGTAACTAACTAATATATTTGTCTTGGTTATCAATATCTTAGGGATATAGAAGAAAAATGGCTTGGTCAGTGGAAATACTTGCTTCTGGGTCAATGGTTGGACACTGACCCCCTTAAGTGTGCCGTGAAGGAGTTCATGGATAATACCAGAAAAGATGGATGTATATTGGATATAAATGAAAGTATAGTAAAGATAGTTATAGGAGGCATCAAGTCTATTAATACGGAAAAATTGAAAATCCCGAAGTTGTTCCTTGAGAAAGGCTGTTTCATTGGAAGCATCACAGATTCTGTTCGAGGACTGGATAAGGAATATGATGGTGTTGATTATGTATCAGATTTACTCATTGCTGCAGCTAACCAGATTGAGTTAGAATACTGCAGCCGCAGGGAACCTGTTGTTCTTGTACTAGACAGCGACATTCAGGTTGGTCTGGTTTATCTTGCAATATGTACTTCTTTCTTAATCTTTTATCTGGTGTTGAAAAGAACAAATATTCCGAATGCGTATATTTTGGCAAGTGCTACCATGTGTCTTGTGGAAGACGCATAGGCATGAGTCATGTCCTTGGAGTGTTTCTGCCAGTGCCAAGATTAGATACCTGATTGCCTACTCGCAGCATTTGCAGGGACGGTTCTTGAGTCCTCCCTCCCCCTTCCCCCTCATCATTACCGTCTAAATCCCTCCATCCCATGAACAAATGTGTCATTAACTCAATATCTATCCTTGTTTGTTCACCTATGAGAAAAATGTGGCACATAAAAGGTAGATTTAACCAGTAAGAGAAGTGATCTTGGTAGGAATTTTGATATACAATATTGAATATTTATCTTAGGCAAATTTTAATTGCGACATATTATGGCCACGTGAGAAGTTACGTAAGAAGACGCTTTCATAAAATCTCATTATGACGAAAGATCTTGATTTGTGATTGATCCTAATTGGAACTTCATCCCCCGATAGTTGTTTAATCTCCTTTTGTCATTTATCCCATGCTTTAGAAGAGATTGAAGGCATTTAGAATCATCCACTTCTTCTTTGTTTTCAACTTAGGAAGGTTTGTTGTTCACTTATAAGCTCCAACCCTGGAGATGAAAAACTCCAATATATGCTATTTTGTCCTTCATTCGACTCAATTAGATAATGGAGTGAAAACTTGAGTATGGAAAAATGTTTCTTAGTTAAGTATTTTTGTTGTGTGTAGCAGTTTGTTATTGATCTTGACCATTCTATAGATGAATTAATGAGTGGATTACATGTGTAAATGACATGTCATGCCTAACCCATTAGGAATATGATCTTGTTTGTGTTCACCTCTATCTATTGAAAATGATTTGTCCTTAATTTTTGTATTATTGGCAACTTTGTTATTGGATGGCACTTTGGTCATAATTGTGGTCAAGTGTTTAGGTAGGTATCAGCATCATTGCAGATTGGATTCAAGTAATAACTTCAATCCCCTAATCTCTACCTTCGTTGTGCTTTAAGCTCTAGTGATGGAATTAATTGACTGGCAAAGTGATGTTTTGGTAGTTAATTTTTAATTCTTTCTTGGGATGGCTGAATGTCGTGATAATTTCAGGGTTGAAATTTTTACTCCCCTGCAGTGACACCAAATCCAAATTGGTCTGTAAGTGGTGGTTTTGGGTGGTAATGTCATGCCCCTTGTTGTCCCTCATCTTTCCTGTGCTGATTTTATTGTAATTATTTGCAGATGCTTCCTTGGGAGAGCATTCCTATTATGAGGGAGCAAGAGGTGTATCGCATGCCCTCTGTTGCAAGTATCTTCATGGCTCTGCAAAGGAGGTCTGTCTTACAGGAATCTGCTAGGCTTGGTACCAAATTTCCATTGATAGATCCACTGGATGCTTTTTATCTCCTGAATCCGAGTGGTGACCTAAGTCGCACACAATCTGAATTCGAGGAGTGGTTTAGATATCAAAACATGCAGGTATGCTCCTGCTGATTCTGTAGTAGCTAAAAGATGATGAGAAATCACATAAGGCAATGGGAAAGCAACTGACACCGAAGTTCAAATAAGTCGAAATTGTTTTCATGCCCTATGAACAAGTCGAGTGCACAATGACATTAGAATTATTTTTTCATTGACAAGGCTACTGCTATAAGATCTCAATGCATAACATGAGCGTATGATTTTCTCCCACTTTTTTGGCTATTTTTTTTTTTTAATTTTATTTTGCCTTGCTTTCAGGGAAAGGCAGGAGCTGTCCCGTCAACTGAAGAGTTGAGTGCAGCATTGGAGAACCATGATCTATTCCTATATTTTGGCCATGGAAGTGGTGTGTCTCATGTTTTATTACATAATCATGTATTATTGTTTTTGAGTCTTGCTTTCCGTTCTCTCATGGCATATGCACTTACTATGATTCTCTTTGTGATCATGCAGGTGCACAATATATGCCCAGAGACAAGATCCAAAAACTAGAAAGCTGCTCTGCTCTGCTTCTTATGGGATGCAGCAGCGGATCTTTGAACTTGAACGGGTGCTATGCTCCAGTCGGTACTTCTCTCTCGTATATGCTAGCTGGCGCTCCTATCGTGGTTGCTAACCTGTGGGAAGTGACAGACTTGGACATTGACCGGTTTGCTAAAGCTGTGCTTAAATCTTTTTTTGAAGAAAGATCAATGTCTTCCACAGACTGCATTCAATGCAGTTTATTAGCCGAAGAATTGGAGTCTATGAGCGTAAATGAAAGGAAAAGAAACCCTAAGAAAGGCCGAGGAAAGAAGAAAGCAGTTGATCCTGTGCCTGATGTTTCAGGTGAATATTGCTACAAACATAAGTTAAGGGCTGGATATTTTGTCAGTCAAGCTCGAAAAGCATGTAAACTTCCCTTCCTGATTGGAGCTGCACCTGTTTGTTATGGTGTTCCTACAGGTATAAAGAAAAAGAGAGATATTTAGTCCTCAACATCTTGTTGATCCCCTTCAAACAAAGTAAGGGGTGTAGATTTGTTGTACAATTAGTTGATCAGTGTAACACATTGTAATCTTAGATTTAGCATGAAAAAAAAGCAAGAAAAGCTGTACAGAAATGAAGAGATCATAAAAATCACAGGTTATTAATATAAAAATTAATTTTACTTGGACCACATTTATAAAAAAAAAAAATTATACATCCTGTAATATCTGTCTTTAGTTATATCCTTTTATTAATGGTCAATTTGGCTGTAAATGTTTAACTTTTCTGTTAAAAATACATTCTGACCGCCTGCATTTCGTTACATTAGTACCTAACATTGTCAGTGTACTTTGTACCTTCCTATCATGTTTAATCATTTTAGGTGATATATTCATTATTATGCTCAGATATTGTCTGAAACCAAAAATCTCCTGAAACTAAACAATGTAACAGAAAAAAGACAACAATTTCCCTCCATTTCCCTTCAATATCTCCCCTTGCTTCGCCCCATCCCACCTGAAAGGGTGAAACTCTCTCTTCTACGGACATGGCGAAGGGGGAGGTTATCTTTACCATATTGACCACCGCCCTTGTCATCCTAATTCTCCTCCCCCCTCTAGCATATCCCATAATGGTAACCGCCATATTTGTTTATTCGAGGGCACACATTTCGACCCACTTGTCACAAAAATTGAGCATAAGGACGGGGTTGAATGAAAATAGAAATGTTGATTTTCACCCAAATGATCATAATCATGCATCTTTAGATTATGTGCATAAGATTATGGAGGCGGAGGTCGAGGATACAGATAAGGTGTATTTTGGGAAGGATGGGAAGTTGAACTTAACGTTGAGGTTAACAACATTGTTTCCTCTTATAGACAACATGCCAAAGGATGGTTATGTTGAATTTAGGGAGCTTGAAGCTTGGAATATCATGCAAGCTAAACAGGGGTTGGAGTATTCTACGAGGAAAAAGCTTGAGGTTAATGATAAAAATAAGGATGGTTTTTTTTCTTATAAAGAATTTTTCCCTAAATTTTCAGATGATGACATAGGTAAGTGTTGTTGCTAACATTTTTGCATATGAAGTAGATTTTTTGTATGATACGAGTAAAAGAGAGGTAATTATACAAAACTGAAAAATGGCAGATAGAATATGATACCCCTATAACATTGAAATTTTGAGTATATATATGCGTTACGAACTAGTCATTTATAAAGAATTCATATAAATAATCTGTAAAACAATCTATTTAGTGTGGAGTAAAAAACCTTCCTACTTTTAAAATAGCATCTAGAGATAGGTACATTCGGGTTTAAGATAAATAACCACACAAACTTTGTGAAATATATATCATGACAAACTATTAAGATAAAACAATAATGAATGTTTTGTAAAAAAAAAAAAAAAAGAATAGTAATGAATGAACACCTTTTTTTTTTTTTTTTTTTTTTGTCTCATCAATATATACAATGATAGTTGAATATGAGCACAAAACCACAATTTGAATGAATAAATAAAATATCAATATTGACATAAGACTTCCTAAAATTCTGTGTATGTTAAAAGTCTTTTGATGCTTTAATTTGTAGCACATAATTTTGTTGTGTGATATTGAATATATTCGCATAGTCTATATTGCAATTATTTCAAATATTTGTAACAGAGAAAAACAAGATGATGGGGCGTGGGGAAACTGGTTGGTGGATGGAACAATTCACCAATGCCGACGCTGATCAACATGGAACATTAAGCTTAGAAGAGCTAAAAGAGTATATTTGTTTTTTATTTTTTAAAAATTTCTATTACTTATTTTTTTTTTTAAAATTGTTTAACTTATTTTATCCACAATTATATTAATTAAAATTTCTTGTCAAAAAAAAAAATTAAAATTTTACTTGTATAATATTTGTAGCTTCTTGCACCTAGAAGAGAGTGTTAAAAATACAAAAGTTCAAGAATGGAATATGTGTGATAAGATAAGGCAAATGAATTATGTCTTACCTCTAAATTATAAGAACATAATTCCTCTCCTAGTTCTTACATAAATTAGATGAAATTTCAATGCTAGAATTTATTTATTGTTTTAATTTGTCCAAATTAATTGACAAATCCATTATTTGAATATTTTGGTGTACACTTATTACAGGATTGGGACAATGATGGCAATCTTAACTTTCAAGAATTTTGTGACAATGCTTATGATACCTTCAAGAACTATTATCACTTTTTAACCAATGGTTCTGTTCCATCACCGGAATTACATTTTTCTAACCTTGATTTAAACAAAGACAGGTACGTACAATAATTTCTTTCTTTTATCGCTTTTATACTCTTTTTTTTTTATATTTATTTTTCTCATTTTTTCGGCTTTTTATGCCTATAAATGTTGTTTACAACTCTATATATTTAAATTATTTGAATCATTTTAGTAAAATATTTGACTTTTTATTCTGATATTTTTTTTGAACAATTTTTTTTATTCAATTTTCAAAAAGTATATATGTAGAACACAAAAGACACTTAAAAATTTCTTTAATTTAAAACATAATTTATGCATTATTATTCTAACAGGTTATTGACGATTCAAGAGTTGGAGCCAATTAAACAATTTATTTTTCCAGGTGTATTGGATCATGCCTCATATTATACAACTTATTTGATGAACGAGGTAAAATTTAATATAATACTTCGTATGTGATTAAAGTTAGAAGACAAACTAATGAAATACTTTGGAATTATACTACATACTCATATTATCTATTTATTTTCTATCTTGTAGGTTGATGATAACTATGATAACAAGTTAACCTTTGATGAAATCTCAAAACATGAAGATAAATTTTACAAAAGTCTTTATGTGGGGGAAGAAGATGATGATGATTGTTATCATGATGAGTTTTGAAGGCTAACAATACAATTGGTAAATATGTGCATGTACATGCATTTTGTCACGTTAATAATTATTATGTGCTATTAATGTAAATGATTTTTTATTCGTCTAGAGTTCGAGCTGAGCTTCAATAAGATCACATGCTCCTTGATGAAGTTGTGGAGATGCAACAACTTTTTCACTTCTTTATATTAGGAAATTTTCATTTTTACCACCTTCAAATAATGACTTTGTCGAATTTACCACCTCCAAAAAAAAAACATTTACTTTACCACTTCATAAAAAAATTAAACATCAGTTTTACCACCTCATCTGAGCTCAGGTGACGGAAAACGCTTGTGGGGCCCAGCTAACTGTCACTTCCCTCCAATTTAATTCTTTTAAAATCGATTTCCTTCTGTCTCCTCCTTTTCTCACCTTCCATAATCAATGTCTCACCAAATTTCTCACTTCCTCATCAATTTTCGTCTCTCTCTCCTTTGATTTTTCTTGATACTCACTGTAACTGCTTCTCTCTCCTTTGATTTTTCTCTTTTCTCTCTGTAAAAACTGAAACCCTAGATCAATTTGGGTGGTTGAAAACGAGCTGGAACCACAAAATTGCAACACATCAGCTTCTCTTGTCATCTTCCACAGGGTGAGGGGACCAAAAGCTTGGTAATTTGCTGACATAAATCGAGATTCCTGACTACAAGAGGTACTTTAAACCCTTTATTAGTACATTTCGTTGGATTTATGGTTGTCAATTGGGGTAAAGTATGCCTTTTTTGGGAATCTGTGAATTAAAGTATTATAAACCCTAATTATGCGAATCTTTGACTGAATTAGAGTGTGCATTTGTTAAATAATTAGTTAATTAGATTTACTTGTTTACTGTTAATTTAGTGCACAGTCAATGTGAATTGCTTTTACTTGCTGTAATTGGTGAATTGGTTGTTGTTGTTTACTGTAATTACTGAAATTGGTTATTGTTGTGTGTGCTTTTGTTGGTGTTGTTACAGAATGGACACAGTGGACTTAAAAATTACAGTAGGGGGTGCCTTTATACCTTCTTTAGCTGGTAAAAATAGGAGGGTGTTAACTTGGGATGGTGGGTGGGTTTATTGGATGAGAAAAGTGGAAAAAAAATAAGATAGATGTACACTTTTTGAGGCAAGCAGCTATACATGGGTTTGTGTATGTGAATGTGAAGGTTCCTAGGGGGTTTAGTTGCTGGTATAAACAAAAGGGCAAGTCTTGGGTGAATGGTAAAAGGGAGCTTGTTGATGGTGAGGTGAATGGTTTCCTAGAGTCTGTGAACAAAGAGGGGGCATGTGAGATGTATGTTACCAGTCATGAGCCAATTGAAGGGACTAACAAAACACCCTTCAAATGTATAGCTGGGAATGAGCTAACCCCTGCACAAAGGAAGGAACTGAAAAAGAGGTTTGGTGGGCCTAAAGTATATAAACCCAGCCCAGTACTTAGTAAGCCCACTGAAGAAGAGCCATTTAGGAGAAGCCCTAGGTTAAAAGGCATTGTTATACATGACAGAGAGGCCGAGGAGAGGCTTCCTAGGGCAGAGAAAGTGAATGCTAATACACATAAAGGGAAGGGTAAACTCACTGCTGCAGATAAGGGTAAGGCTAAGGTTGGGGATGAGACTGGAAATCATGCTAATTTAGTGAGAAAAATAAAAGAAAGAGTGAGGAGCTTAAGGGATGATAGTGATGTGTTTACTGATGAGGATGGTGATACATAGTCTTCTGATTCTGAGTTGAGTGATTTTGAGTTAGAAGTTGATGAGGGAGAGGAGGACTTATACTCTGATGATGATGAAGAGTGGTTGAAGAAAAATTTAGACCATATTAACAGTGAGGTGAAAGGCAGTTTGAGGGGAGTTACTGAAGGAGGGGATCAAAGTGATGATGAGGACACAGGGTTTGACATAGAAAGAAATCTACAGAAAATTGAAGTGAGGGTTGAAGAGGAGGCAGCTTGTGATTATGATGAGCTAAAGAGTGTGGAAGGTGATTCAGATGATGATCAGGGTAGTGTTACTTGGTTTAACCCTGAGACAGACTTTGAAAGGGCTATCAAATTTGTAGTTGGTCAAAGGTTCAGTGATGTGCAAACAATGAGAAAAGCTTTGAGACAACATGCAATTGAAAATAGGTATGAGTATTACCTTCTTCACAATGATTCAAAGAGGCTAACAACATATTGCAAAAGGAAATGCAAGTGTGTGTATAACAAGAACAGTTGTAGGATAGTGAAGTGTACATGTAGTAAGGGTGTTAGGTGTAGGTTCAAGTTCTATGCAATAAGGCTTGTGAAATCAGAGGCTTAGCAAATTAAGACACTAAGGCTGAAGCATAGGTGTGTTAGGAGTAAAATGAACAACAAGGTGACAGCAGAGTTCCTTGCTGACAGGTACTTGGAGGAGTTCAGGGGCAACCCCAGATGGAAGATTAAACAGATTCAGGACAGGGCCTTGAATGACTTGGGGATCAAAATTACATACTCCAAGGCTTGGTTGGCTAGAAGCAGGGCAAAGCTTATAATATATGGCTCTTCATCAGAGCAATACTCAAAGGTTTGGGACTATGGGAAGACACTGCTGAAATGGAACCCAGGGAGTGAGTGTAATGTGGTGGTGGATGATATTAGTCAAATTGAAAGACCAATTTTTATGAGGATGTTTGTGTGCTTAGCTGCACTTAGGGATGGATTCATTTCTGGTTGCAGACCAGTAATTGGGGTGGATGGGTGCCATCTAAAAGGGGCATACCCTAGGCAGATCTTGGTTGCAGTTGGAAAAGATGGCAATAATGCCATCTTCCCAATTGCTTGGGCAACTGCAGAGATTGAGAACAAGGACAGCTGGTGCTGGTTTCTAGAGAGCTTGCTCAAGGAACTTTGTGTGTATGACCAAGGAGATGGCTTGACTTTTATGTCTGACAGACAGAAAGTAAGTGGGCTGTGTTTGTGTTTAAATTACTTTGCTTTATTTGACTTTTCTGTACACTAACTTGTTAGTTTTGCCTTGTGTGTAGGGTCTCATAGAAGCATTTGCAGATGTGGCCCCCAAAGCTGAGCTCAGATTTTGTGTGAGGCATATTTGGTCAAATTTCAAACTGAAATTTCATGGTGCAACTTTCAAGGAATTGTTCTGGGCTGCTGCTAGGGCAAGCACTCTGGTAAGCTTCTATTTAGGTTCTTTTATGTCAGTTTTATGGTGAACTATAATGTATGCTAGGTGCTTTTTTGTTTAGCTTGTATCAGTTTGGTTTTTGCCCAAATACTTGTGAATTTTGCCCATTTATCTACATTTAGTTTTGCACATATTTGCATGTCTTTCTATTTTGTGAAAACTGTATGCCATGTGTCTATGTTGTGTTGAATGGTTGTCATGTGTGTGGTTGTATCAGTTTGAGTTTGAAGTTGCTATGGAAAGTATCAATTTTTTGGATGAAGAAGCATACCAGTGGTTGTCAAACATTGACCCCCAGCACTGGTCAAGGCATGCTTTCTCTACAAACTGCAAGTCTAACATGTTGTTAAACAACATGTGTGAGACATTTAATGCAGTAATTAGAGATGCCAGAGACAAGCCTATTCTAACTCAAATGGAATGGCTTAGAAGATATATGATGTAGAGGAGTAATGACAAATGGGAGGCAGCAAAGTCTTGGGAAGGTTTACTAACCCCATTTGTCAACAAAGTCTTTGATGGGTTGGAGAAGTATGCCAGGACATGTGAGTTACAGCTTCAAGGGATGAAATTTATGAGGTGAAATACAAGGATGATCAGTGCATTGTGGATCTACAAGAGAGAAAATGCACTTGTTATAGATGGGAGTTGACAAGAATACCTTGTGTCCATGCATTTTCTTGCATAATGGACAAAAGGGATGATCCTGAGTTGTATGTGCACCCACATTACTATAGGGTGACATACTTGGCTGCATATGAGAACCCAATACAGCCAATGCCTGGCCCTAAGAATTGGGAAAAGGTCAAGCTCAGACAGCCTTTGCCACCTATGCTGAAAGTGCAGCCAGGAAGGCTTAAGGCAAAAAAGAGAAAGCTTGAACCAGGGGAGGGCACTTCTGCAGCACCTGAGGGCAAGAAGCCAAAGGTGAAGAAACAATGCAAGAACTGTGGTGGGTTTGGCCACTTTGCCAAAACATGTAAGGCTGAAGCAGCACCAGAACAGCCTAACCCACCTGCAACAAATCCAAAGGGTGGGAGGCCACAGATGCAGACTCCTTGACTTAAGGAACAGAGAAAGAATTGTGAAGAGAAAGCAGCAAGACAGGTATTTTGTGTATTTTGTGACTTGAGTGTATTTAGTGGCTTTGTATTTGAGTCTTGTCATACTGTGATTGCAGGCTGGGTCAAGTAATGCTGCACCTGCAACTGCTGTGTCAAGCCAGCCTGCAACAAGAACAGAGCCTTTGCCAACTCAGCCTGTTACCAGGAGCAACAGGAGCCTGAGTCAGCCCACAAGAGTGCCAACAACTACTCCTCCCAAAGTCAAAATACAGACCAGGTCCAAGCTTCATGTAATGACAAGCAAGAAGGACAAGGATCTCAATCAACTGTGACCCTAGGTCTACTCATTAGTATTTTGTAATAGACAACCAAGTTTATTAACTACACATGTGTATAGTAGGCAGTATATTTGGTAGTTGAACAATGATTTTGCACAAAGGTGCCTTAACTTTTGTCTCAGCCAATGTAAAATAATTAAAAACATTGTGTTGCAAATACTAATACGAAATGTGATATGTTTCTACCAAAAAGTTCCATTTCTCATTGATTTAGTTAAAAGTAGTACAAGAAATGTCATCCCAACATCCACACATAATAATTCAACAAAACACAACATAAGTTGGGGATTTTTTTTGTTTCTAAGCATTCCTAAATGAACCTAAGATCTAAAATACATAGCCAGTACCAAACCAAAACAACAAAACACAACAATAACATGTACTGTGAGCATTTTCTTTGTTGTTGCATTGCTGCCATGCACTTCCTTGATCATCTTATTCCTGTCTGAGCTAAGAGCTTTGCATTTCATCTTCAAGCTGTCAATCTCATTGAGCAAGCACCTCCTTTGTCCACTAACATCATCAACTTCCCTCTTCATGTCATTCAGCTCTCCCTTCATTAGTTTCTTGTCCAGCAGCAAGTTGTTAATCACCTTTGTTTGCCAAGGTGTTCCATCTGGTTGATCCACCCACTCAAAAGCTTTACACCCCCTTGACTCAGTCACAGGATCATAGAATTTGCAGGTCCTAAACTTGCGTCCAGGGTTCTCCCTAGTCCAAGCAGTCAGCCTAGACATTGGAACTCCACATTGACATTTTTTCTCCTTTGAGGGTGACATGCTAACTGAAGACATTCCCTTCTGAAATTCAGTAAGAACAAGAATGAAATTAATTGTATTTGAACACAATCACCATAATATAACCCTAATTTCAGTAGCCAATTCACATAACAAAAACCCCCAATCTAATTTAATCTTACATGAACCCTAAGTATTTTAATTGAAATTGGGGTTTAATTGACCTCACAAAACGCCCAATTTCAATTACTCTTAGCAAATGCAACATAATCACGCAACGAATTGCCAAAAAATTACAACAGAAATCACGAAAATTGCTAGAGAATTAACGACAATGGCTTACCTTTTTGATGCTTGTTGTCGAGGAGTTCAATTGATTGTTTGATAATTAGAGGGTTTGGGATTGTTAAGGTTGCCCAAAAATACTGATTTGTGAAGAAAATCGCAAAAATTAATCTCCAATCTGCAAGAATTTGGTGTACAAATGAAGAACTAGGTTTAAATAAAAGGGAAATCGAGAGAAATTTGGGAAAAAATCAAAAACTAGCCGTTATGCTGGGCCCCACAAGCGTTTTCCGTCACCTGAGCTCAGATGAGGTGGTAAAACTGATGTTTAATTTTTTTATGAGGTGGTAAAGTAAATGTTTTTTTTTGGAGGTGGTAAATTCGACAAAGTCATTATTTGAAGGTGGTAAAAAAGAAAATTTTCCATATTATTATTGCATGAACTCTTTTTTGAAGATTACATGAGGATCGGAGTCGGACTCCTCGAGGAGATTCGTGAATGATACTTCGTACTCTGTACTTTACATTATCGAACAAAAAAATTAAAATTGTTAAGTATAAATTAGTTTGAAACGGGATCACAAGAAGAGTAATATTTACATTTTAATTTCAAAATATATTTACTTGTACTAAATAATAGGTTAGGTTTTTGTTTGTAAGTGCAATGCACCACTAACATTAGGACTAATGACTTAGATATTGTTATTTTTTTTTTTTTTTTTTTTTTTTTTTTTTTTTTTTTTTTTTTTTTGGTTAACAACAGACTAAAGCAAGTTAAGATTTTTATTTTATTTTAAATGACCGTGAATTGTGGAATTTCTAGCCTAATACGAAGTATAATTCAAATTCAAAAGCAAAGTCATCTCACCATTATAGCATGCTGACAAAACAATTTCTCTTGTACAAGTAGGTGTATTACTGTACTTATAATAAACTTGCTCTACCAATTAATAAAGTAGCTTGATATCCCTCCTAAGCTTCAAATCTTCCTATGACAATTGATGCATGGTAGCATTGGAGTTAGAGATATCCTTTACAAAAGAAAAATTATTCCTTTTAGCAACTGTAGCCTATGTACTTTAAACTCAGAGGCAATCAAACCTGTTTCTCGGTTGTGAAAAAACTAAAGAAATTTGGAAACATCCTTTAACCAAGAGTTGGTTGAGTAGTTCTCTTACACGTGGAGGCTTGCTACCCACCCTAAACAACCTCAGAAAGAACAACTCCACTCTTAAAAAGTTTATCTTCTTATTCTGAAGCATATGGAATGAACGAAATTCTATTATTCTTCAAAATGAAACATTAGATATCCCTCGAATTTTCCACAGAGCGCAATTTGTGTTCACCGAGTGGCAATGTCACACTCTCACAGAAACCTTTTTAAGCTCGGGATCACCTATGCAGAGATCCCAAACCCATACCCACCACCAACGAACCCATCCATTCCATTTCGCGCCAGCAGGTTTCTTGGGAAACACCCCCCTTAAACTCTTTCAAACTCAACTTTGACGGTTCACTCAAAAACTACAAAGCAGCAGTAGGCGTCATCATTAGAGACAACACCGGTTCCCTTGTCGCAGCTCGCACCTTCAACCTTGGCAACACTGTTGTTTTTGTTGCAGAAGCTACAACTCTTTGAAAAGGCATCCATCTCGCTCTTCAACACGAGATTCAACATTTAGTCATCGAAGGGGATAATCTCCTAGTAATCAATGCAGTTAAAGGAGTTTGGTTCGTTCCATGGCAAATCGATCACATCATCGCCGACATCCTCAATCTTCTTCAAAGGTTTCAACAATGGGATATTAATCATGTTTACAGAGAAGCAAACAGAGCAGCAGATTGGATCGCGAATGTAGGTCATCTTGTTAGTGATAATATGGACATTACTCTTTGTACCCTATTATTTCCTCTGATGCATTAGGAATTCCCCTCGTGAGGAGGGGTTCCTAATGTTTCTTTTTTCTTACCTTTAAAAAAAAAAAGTAGATTTAATAATAAATTTAAGGGATGCAAAAATTTAATATTTTACGAAGTAGCATTTTTTTTTGTTTGGTGCATTATTTACAAACTCCACTTTGATCATCGTTTGTAATTTATATTTTACGCGGTCTTGTTAGATATATCTCAATATGTATGTTCGGTACATGAACTATTTCTTAACTTTAAAATACACAATCAAAGATATACAGAGTACTTATATGCTCACAAACTGATTGAAAATGCCAAATGGTAAGTTTCACTTAAATGTTTAATTCGCTTCATGAGCAAATAACACAATTTTAAAAAGGTAAATTAAAGAAGAGAGGCGGGAAAATTCTATTTATGAGTCGTGTTGAACCTCACTTTTATATTTTTTAAGAAAATCATTATTAAAGTAATGGAGCAAGTAATGTGCTACATACTAACAAACAAAGAAGTGAAATGTGAAAAGTATGTAATTGTACGTGATGGTACTAACAGATGGAGTATGTATGATGTATCTTATACGTAGTATATTTCTTTGGCTTAATTGTTACAACGTAATACAGTCACATTGGTCTTAGTTTTACTTATAAATTAAAGAGGCAAAAGGTAAATAGCTTACAATTATTAATATGTAGAATCAGTTTATTAGGGCTTCAATTGAGATATGTAGATAACATGTAACTATGCAAAAAAGAAAGTATTCATTCTAACTTGGTTGATCAGATCACGAGTTTTGCTCAAAATAGATTAATATAATGATTAGATCAGATAATTTGGGCTATAAATGAATTGAATATGTATGCAGTATGCCCAATATTATATCTCCGCAGATTTAATTAAATTTGTAACGATTAGGTTTATGCAAAAATTACTAAAGTAATATATTAATTTTAAAATTGGATAATGCACACATATTTACTCTCGTGTTAGGTGATTGGAATTCTTAGTTATGTATTCATATGGTGTGATCAACATAATTATTAATCATGTCAAAAAAAAAATAAAAAAATCATCAAATAAAGTTATTCAAAAGAGTACATTTTTGAAGTAGATGAACTTCATACAAAAACAAGTTAAGGAAAAATTATCAAGAATTGTGTTTGAAGCATGATAAGATACAAAAATTGGTAGACGATGGAACATAAGGACAGACCACATACTAAGTATGATTCTTTTACGTCATTAGACATCACAAGTATTTCATGAAACAATTGTTCGATAGTTGACCATATAACTTTAATAGTGTAAGATTAATTAAACTTTTTAAAAGGTAAGTAAAATCAAAATTTATTGACCTTAAATTAAAATCTAATACAATATAATGTATAGTATTAAAAAAGAATATCCCTTTAGCTATAAACATATTAATCAAATTACAACTTCTTATTTTTAATTTATTTTTATTAAATTTTCAATTCAGACAGCCATTATAAGAATAATGTGCAAAAGTATAAAATTCAATTACAATACAAAACTTACATCATATAGTATGGCATGAAAAAAAAAATTATTGAATTTGATAGCAAAAGCACAACCTCAATTCAACCAACCAAAGCATATTACAAGATATTGCTTATCTGTCTCCAATTATTAAACACCTTTACTTTTTGTAATTTTCCACATTATTATTTTTATTATTTGCATTATCACCATTATTACACCTTTTTCTTTTAATAAATGCATTACTTGTATTATTATTATTACTACTTACACTTATAAAAAAAACTTCAAAAATTTAAAAAAAAAAATATTGGTGGGACCCGTTCGCCACAAACCAACGGTCCAGATCTTCTCAATCAGATCTACTAGTAATACCGTACTTGTACTACCCAATATTGGACTTACAAATATAATTCCAAATTACTCCTAAAAATTGTAAATTAATTAAACTTGATTAATTAACGTTAATCAGTAATTTGTTGGATTATTATTTGCGTGTTTTATGTAAAAAATTATTCTTTTAGTCTCCATTTGTTTTTCACAACCGCGTCTCTCTTCTCTCTCTTCTTTTTTTCTCTCTCTAGTTTTGTTTCTCTCTCCTAGGGTTTCGAAGCCGCCGTTTTTGGGGGTTTCCTCTGTCTTTCGATCGGTGACTGATTACTCTCTGTCACTTTCTCTCTCCTCAATCCTCTTGCAATCTCAGGTAATTGCAGACTTAATTTCTTTTTGTAATTTTTAGTTTGATTTTCTGCATTTTGATGCATTTTTTGATTGATCGGTTTGATTTTTGAATTTCATTTTTTCTTGTTTAATTGATCGGATTGGATTGCTGTTTACTTCGATCGATCGATTTTTTGTTTAATGGTGCGATCTATGAATTTTGTTTTTATTTTACAATTATTGTTAATTAGGGGATTGATGATTGTCATTAGTTAGATTTAAATGTTGTGAGTGATTAGGATTTTTTTTCAGAATTAGTTGAAGTAGTGTAATTGTTAGGTTGATTTCGGTTCAAATGCAATTGTTTTATATGTTTATTATTTGATTAATTTGTACTATTTCTGAAATTTGGTGTTTAATTAGATGATTAGCTGTTTATATTGTTAGATCTAGCTGCAATTGAATATTTGCAGTTGAATTGACCTAATTCGTTTTTCCATTTTACTAGTTCTTTAATTTCTCTGCGTTTTATGCCAATTGCTGTGCTTTTGTCAATCAATTGGGTGACTGACTATTATGCTCCGGGAAACCGTTCCTAGATTTTGAAAAGATTGATTGCTTTCTGCAGTAACTACAGAGTACTGTAAAAGTAATTTATACTGGTAAGGGTGGTGTATATTTTGAATACCAGTTTTGTTTATCAGACACATAGGAATTTTCGGAATAGTGATAGGAATTTTGTTTAACCATTGAAGTTGCATTCTTTCTAGGACGGCGCAAGGTTGACCTCTAAAGCATGATTTTTTGTTTTCCCTCAATAAAATTACAGACCCATTCTCCTAGTAGTTGTTGAATCTAAAAAAATCGTTGCTCGTTGAGATTATCAGTCATTGATTTATAGGCCATTATATTCAAATTTTTGTTAATAGTTATTCAGTGCTTGTTTCAGCAAATTGGTTCTTTCTTCTTTCAAGCTTCCTCTAGTTGGATGTACAGTCTATCTGGACCTGTCAATCGATTGAATATGCATGCATTGTGTTTTTTACTTTCAGTTGATCTTTTTTGGGATGTAGTACGTACTGGTGGTGCTGTTAGAAATTTAGAAAAATAAAGTTCCAGTGCCTTTTGTGGTAAAGATTATGATTCCTACTTGATTGAGTTTTGACAAGTGCTTTTATGCAGATATATTATGGTGATGGAAATCACCCAATTACTTTTGAATGCTCAATCAGTCGATGGGCAAGTCCGGAAGCTTGCTGAAGATAACCTTAAACAATTTCAGGATCAGAACCTCCCAAGTTTCTTGCTTTCGCTTGCTGGAGAGCTAGCCAATGAAGAAAAGCCAGCTGACTCGCGAAAATTAGCGGGTCTTATTCTTAAAAATGAATTAGATGCTAAGGAACAACCTAGAAAGTTTGAGCTTATACAGAAATGGGTGTCTTTAGATGTGGGATTGAAGAATCAAATTAAGGCATTCTTGTTACAGTCCTTGTCTTCTCCTGTTCATGATGCCCGCTCAACTGCATCTCAGGTAGTTGCTAAGGTTGCTGGTATTGAGTTGCCCCACAAACAATGGCCAGAGCTGATAGGATCACTGTTAGGAAACATTCACCAACTTCCACCTCATGTCAAACAAGCAACTTTGGAGACCCTTGGGTATTTGTGTGAGGAGGTCTCTCCTGATGTGGTAGAGCAGGATCATGTGAATAAAATCCTCACTGCCGTCGTTCAAGGTATGAATGCAAATGAAACAAACAATGAAGTAAGGCTTGCTGCTACGCATGCATTATATAATGCTTTGGGCTTTGCTCAGGCTAATTTTAACAATGATATGGAGAGAGATTATATCATGAGAGTTGTCTGTGAGGCGACATTGTCACCTGATGTGAAGATTCGACAGGCAGCTTTTGAATGTTTGGTTGCAATTTCTTCCACATATTATGAGAAGCTGGCTCCTTACATTCAGGACATATTTAATATTACAGCAAAGGCAGTGAGGGAAGATGAAGAGCCAGTTGCTCTTCAAGCTGTTGAGTTTTGGAGCTCTATATGTGATGAGGAAATTGATATTCTTGAAGAATATGGAGTTGATTTCACGGGTGACTCTGAAATTCCTTGCTTTTATTTTATCAAGCAGGCTCTCCCTGCTTTGGTCCCCATGTTGCTGGAGACACTTCTCAAGCAAGAAGAGGAGCAAGATCAAGATGAGGGAGCTTGGAATATTGCTATGGCTGGGGGAACTTGCCTTGGGCTTGTTGCAAGAACTGTTGGAGATGATATTGTGCCTCTTGTGATGCCATTTATTGAAGAGAACATCACGAAGCCTGATTGGAGGCAACGAGAGGCTGCCACCTATGCCTTTGGATCAATTTTGGAGGGTCCATCCCCTGACAAGTTGACTGCAATTGTCAATGTTGCTTTGAACTTCATGCTCACTGCATTGACAAAAGATCCTAACAGCCATGTTAAGGACACCACAGCGTGGACTCTTGGACGAATTTTTGAATTTCTTCATGGATCAGCGGTGGAAACTCCAATTATCACGCATGCAAATTGCCAGCAGATTCTTACGGTTTTATTGCAAGCCATGAAGGACACTCCTAATGTTGCTGAAAAAGCCTGTGGTGCTCTCTATTTCTTGGCCCAAGGTTATGAGGATATTGGTTCGTCTTCACCCTTGACTCCTTACTTCCAGGAGATTGTCCAGTCCCTTCTTACTGTTACCCACAGAGAAGATGCTGGGGAAGCGCGATTGCGGACTGCTGCTTATGAAACTCTAAATGAAGTAGTCAGGTGCTCAACTGATGAAACTGCTCCCTTGGTTTTGCAACTAGTTCCTGTAATTATGATGGAGCTTCATAAAACACTTGAATCACACAACCTTTCACCTGATGGGAAACAGGGAGAACTGCAAGGTCTTTTGTGCGGTTGTCTTCAGGTTATTATTCAGAAGCTTGGGGCAGCAGAACAACCTAGAGCTATGCTTTTGCAGTACGCTGATCAAATCATGCAACTATTCTTAGGAGTGTTTGCTTGTAGAAATGCCACAGTACATGAAGAGGCCATGCTAGGAATTGGTGCTCTTGCCTATGTCACAGGTCCTGAATTTGCCAAATACATGAATCAGTTCTACAAGTACTTGGAAATGGGTCTTCAAAACTTTGAAGAATACCAAGTTTGTGCTGTCACCGTTGGTGTGGTGGGAGATTTATGCAGGGCGTTGGAAGATAAGATTCTGCCTTATTGTGATGGGATTATGACACAACTCCTTAAGGACTTGTCAAGCAATCAACTTCATCGTTCAGTAAAGCCTCCTATTTTCTCATGCTTTGGGGACATAGCTCTTGCGATAGGAGAGAATTTTGAGAAATATTTGATGTACGCCATGCCAATGCTTCAGAGTGCAGCGGACTTGTCTGCTCACACAGCTGGTGCTGATGATGAGATGCTCGAGTACACTAATCTTTTGCGGAATGGAATTTTGGAAGCTTATTCTGGAATCCTTCAAGGATTTAAAAACACTTCGAGAACCCAACTTCTGCTAACTCATGCACGTCATATTCTTTCCTTCATAGATAGCATATACCAGGAGAAAGCTATGTAAGTTATTCGTATATTTTGGTGTGTTGGTTTACACACTTTATTCTTGTTTGATAGCTAATTTCAAAACTTTATATTTGTAGGGATGATGCTGTCATGAAGACTGCCATCGGAGTGCTTGGTGACCTTGCAGACACACTTGCAACTAGTGCAGGCCCCTTAATCCAGCAGTTTCCATCATGCCGGGACTTGCTTAATGAATGCTTGTTGTCTGATGATCATTCAATTAAGCAATCTGCTGAATGGGCCAAGTTGGCTGTTAGTCGAGTGATATCCATTTGAGGCTTGGTCTCCTGTTTGGTATATTCTTTTACTTTTAGAAGTCCCTGCATGCATTGGGTGTCGAGTTGGGTCCGGGGGTTTGGGGTTGCATACACAAGTGTCGGGTCGTCACCAGTCAGACAACTGAAGCTGTCAGGTCCTTTTGCTCTGGTCATTAAGGAGGTGGTGGATAGTCGGAAACATTTCAGGGGCCTCTGCTTGAAAGTTTTTAACCAATCAAGCTAAGTGCCGAAGGATGAATATGGGAGAGACATGTATGTCTTTTGAGTCTGAAATGTCAAAACTGATCAAAAATCATGCCGAAAGCGTGGTTGCCTGATTTCCGGTCCATGGTCCCCTCTACTAATTTTGAAAAGGGATATTCCCTTGTTTGCCCTGGTGTTTCCTATCGTCTCTAAATGTTACAATGTGAATATCTGGAAGTCAGATGATGATTACAGCAGAGGGTCAATGCAGGTTCAAAGATATGTTCAAATGACCACCAGTGGTTTAACATAGAATTTCCTCCCCCCTTCACCAAGTATTTTTTTATTATAATTTTTTCCTTCCCCCATTTTTCATTTTCTTCATATTTGATCTTTTAATTTTTGGTTTTCCCCCCTTTTTTTGAGTCCTGCATGGTTTGTAGTCCATCAGTTCAGCCAACAGTTGTGTTGCATTTGCGTCTCATCATATTTTGTCTTTTTTTTTTTTTTTTTTTTTTTTTTTTTTTTTTGTATACTCTTCATGTGGTCTTTTTGATCACCCACATACGATGAAAGCATCACATTATTATTATTATTATTATCATTATGCATTATTTCAATGATATTTTGGGTTTAAGCACTACTGCTTGATCAAATTCGTTTTGGTCGATTGTTCTCATTCATGATCAAGCATGTCTGTTACTTGGAATCTTGGATTTTGCAGTGGAGTACAGGAATTTTTAGTTGCGTAAATTATTTCCAGATTTTGTCGTCTTTAAAGGCGAAACGTGTAACTTGTGGGCTTCCTATAGTTATCATGTTATAAACATATTATGGAAACTGGGTCTTTAATTTGGACCCCGTATTTTTCTCTCCAAGTTGTATGATGTTATACTTGTGAGATTGAACAAAGAAGTCTCTTAAGTATTTTTTATATAATATATGCTATCCAGATTTTATCATGTAAAGCTGGTATTTGTAATTGAGGATAAGTTTATCTATTTTTGCATAGTTTAATAGTATAGTGACTTCTATTTCCCATTTAAAATTAATAGTTACTTCATGTTGTATTTTCAACTAATACGTAGTAATCTGATGATTAAATTCGCATTAGTATTAATATATTGTGTTGTCTTGGTATACGTTATCATAATGCCAACATTTTAAAATTTCAATTTATAAAAGGTGAGAATTCAAGTTTTTAAAATATTTGGGGTTTGGATAACATCTGTATTTCGTGTAAATTCCCAAAAAGAATTCGGCCAGATAAATGATGAGGCAATATATGTTGAAAGTTCTAAGAAGTCATGATTATGTGTAGTTGCTATATCACTTGACCCTTTCACTCTATGAAAAGTTGGTATTTTCAGGTTTACATCTTTGCCTTACCTGACTTCCAAATTCCAAGAGAGATTTTTTTTTTTTTTTTTCCATTGGAGTCAATAATCTGTCCATTTCATGCTAAAGTGATAGGCAACATTCGATATCACTATATTATGTTTTCATTATCACTCCTTATAGTTTTCATTATCAGGTCTTAAAACTTTAGTTACGGAATACTTTCATATATTGGACACTAAATAAGTAGATGGTTTATATTAGTGGATCAACCGGAGTTATATTGTTTCATAAAGGGGTGGTTTAAGTTAGGGACTAGCCAAACATGAAATGATATACGAGGTTCAAAAAGGTTAACTTATTATTTGTTGCATTAATATTAAATACTTGTATTAATTAGTTGCTTATTCCGTAATAAAAATTGCCATTGAAATGTACAAGTATGAAATTCTACATGAGCTATTGGAGCTTTTGATTCCACTTATGGTGAAGAAACACACTATGTTGTATGCGTTATGATTCATGCTCACTAATTTAACATCCATATAGTTTTCACAAAATGCAAGAAAAGAAATTGTCAATTTAAGGAATTACTTCAAATATGACAGTCCTTCATGTGAGTCATACATTGACTACGCTCTATTACAAGGTCAAAAAAACTGTGGTGCCATTTCTTTTTTGCACAAACAAATTCTAGAAAAAAAAAATCAATATAGTTCTATACGTTTGATGTATATATAGACGAGGAAGGAAAACTTCTTCATATTATTATATTCATTTATGATAAATAAACTGTGCTTTTTATACTCTTAAGTAACAAGTTGAGATACATCTTTTTCTCTCTTTCTTTTTGAAAAAATTAGACACTTGAAATATTACAACACAGTACAGCTATCATTTGGAGTTATGATATGAAATGGAATAATTCTCAATTTTGTAGCAAAATATTTCTTATCATGCTAAAATAAGTGGGGATAATGGCGTAGTTAATCTATTATTAGCTCTTGTTGATAAACTAAAGACCAATGCAAGCAATGAGACTTCTGGTCTTTAATTTTTAGTTCTTATCGTGCCATGTATAGTGGAAAGCTAACTTACGTGTTAGGTCTTTATCTTTGACAATAAGAAAGCGATCTTTTGATTGAATCAGTAAGGTGTTAAGGCAATTGCGTATATATTCTCAAACCTAAATAATATTTTACCTTTCTCTTTTTATAAATCATATCAACGTATTTGTATCTATACTACCATTCTATTTGTGGTACGTAGTACAATCTTTCATCTATACTTTATAGTGGTGGCCGGTAACCTAGCTAAACTCTTAGATAAGATTTGGTGCTTAAATTGAAAAGAAAAGTTAGCAATTTGTTCATGGCAATAGACTAGTACGATGAGATTTGGCTGTTCAAGAGCCACACAATGTGAAGGGAAGAAGAGATTGACTTGTAATTAAGAAAGAATGATGATATTTGAAAGGTGCCTTGAACATATTGTAAAATCACTATCACAATTCACATGTTATAAAGTCAGTATTCTGCACAGTTCACACCACCTCAACAAAAATAGTGCTCCTCTATTGCAGATTTGCTGCACTTCTTTTAGTGATGATCTTGCACCAGTTCTCCTCAACTCTTCCACAAAGTCACCACATCATGTTGTTTTGTGTAGAGAGCATATAGACAACGGGAAAAATGGGATTTGATCTCATGTTTTGGGTATCATATCCCGATATATATTTTATAGTTGCTCTCGGGTTACTTGACATCCGGTCCTCAACCCTTCCACAAAGTCACCACATTAAGTTGTTCGACATTTAACATTTGTACCTCTTCTAATTTTACATATACAAGATACATAACTTTAATCATTAATTATATATAGATATCAATAAATAATTCTAAAAAAGTAATATCTTGAAAAAAATATATTGGGACGCTTTTAACCAAATCAGACATGAATATATGTTCTTATACGAAGAATTGCTTTTTTTCCTTCCTTTTTTTTTAATTTTTTTTATTTGAGATGGAATAAATTGTTGTGAGAGATTTGTTAGGAATTGCTACAAATCTCACTTTTGATATTATGAATTTTTTTATTTTGTATTTACATTTTACATTTATGCAACCCTTTTAATTCCCCACCACCTTTGCGGTGCACTGTTATTATTGATACTAATGTTTTATGTATAGAAGCTATTACTTATCTTACTATATGGGTGTGAAGTGTGGTCTTTGAAGTAAATATGTTATAAAGTTATCTTTTTCATGTGAAGCGTATGTAGATTATATATTGTTTTCCAATTAATAATAATGAACTATCAATATTATCATAAACAAGAAAAGTTAAAGGAGAGCGTGATAAAGACTACATTCTTTTCTAGCAAATTAATAGTCACATTGTCTCAACTCTCAATCCATCTCATCCGAAGGAAGGATAACTGCATGACTTGAGATGAAATATTAAATTTTAGCACTAGGTAACACACTAACACTTCATGCACTAGCTCAAGATTTTGCTATAAATAAAGTTTGTAAAACTGTGGAGTTCTCACAGGAAAAATGAAATCTCAGCTCAACTGTGGAACACTAACATAATATATAGGGCACTATAGACTAGTTGAAATTTCATCATAATATAAAAAAATATACTATCGAAGGTCATTTTCATATTAAACAAATGTTAGACCAAGTTTTTGGTTGCATTAATCAATTGTAAGGGAGTCTGGCCTATTTCGTTTGATTTAGCGTCAAATTTTTTAAAAAAATCGGTGTTCATTAATTTAATGAATGGCGGAATTTTTGGACAAGCATTAACTGTCAATTTAGTGGGTTTGGCACATGCTTCCTAATGATTGCCAAAATAAAGAAAGAAATAGAACTTTTCTCTCTTCATTCATTTACTATAGCTTTCTCTCTCTAAAAAGCAAGTAACTGGCGATTTCGAGCGTTTTCTCTGTCCTCCATTGTTGATTTTCGAGCTTTTTCTTTCTTCTTTTTCACTGGTGAAGTTGTTATTTGCTTAATTCAGGTTCGTTTACTTATTTTTTTTGAGATTTTTGTTAGTTTAAATTGTTTTGATTCTTCGATTTTTAGGTTTTTTGATTTTGATTTTGTTTTCGATTTTCGTAGTGTTGATTCTGCAATGGTGAAGAAGAAGATTACAAAGAAGGCTGTAGATGCTGAAGAAGGTGTGTTTACTTAAATTTTTCATCATTTTTTCAAATTTTTCAATTGAAATTTCGCTTATATATGTCGAATTACTAGTGCATGTTATTTTTTTTATAGTTTTCAGTTGATTTTTTATGCATATTATGATAATTGAATTTGAATTATGAAGTTATTATGTTTAATTTTGCTTTATTTTATTGTTCATTGTTTATAATTGATTCAAAATTTTGCTTATTATTCTTCAAATTTTGTATGTTAGGTTTTAGTCAGAGAATGCTAATTAAACTGATTATTTGTTTAGGTTTTATGTTTTAGTTAGATTATGTGTATAATAGGCATATTCGCATTGTGTTTGTGCATCTGTGTTTGATTAACATGCATATATGCATTGCTCATTGTGTTTGAGTAATAGACATGTGTGTCATTTATATGTTTTGACAATGTTCACTTTATGATGTTAAAAGGGTGACTTTATGCTGTTAAAAGAGTCACTATATGTTGTTAAATTATTAACTTTTTCAGTTAAAAGGGTCACTTTTTGCAAAAAAAAGGGTCACTTTTTGCATATAAAAGGGTCACTTTATGCATACAAAAGGGTCACTTTAAGCTGTTAAAAGGGTCACTTTATGCTGTTAAAAGGGTCACTTTATACTGTTAAAAGGGTCACTTTGTGATGTTAAAAGGGTCACTTTGTGCTGTTAAAAGGGTTACTTTGTGCTGTTAAAAGGGTCACTTTATGCATTTAAAAGTGTCATTTGTGCACATTATTCTATATTTTTCCATGAGTAATTTCTGAATTTGTATTTATATTACTTTAATAATTAAATACAGGTGGTTCAATAGGTGGTTATCGTTATAAAAAGCCTACAAAAGGAAAAGGAAAGCCTAAAGAGCCTGCTAAGCCTAAACCAGTACCAAAAAAGACCCAGATAGCTCATGAGAAGAGCAAAGCAGTATCTAAAAAGGCTGGGAAAATTCCTGAGAGTGACAAACCAGAGTCTGAGAAGGCCAAAATAGTTCCTAAGAAGGCCAAAATTGTACCTAAGAAAGCTAATACAGTGGAAGATTCTGATTATGAAATGCTTTCTGAATCTGATTCTGAATCTGTTATGTAAGTATACATATTTTTTTATTACATTTTTAATTATATTTTGTTTTTATTTTATATTGTTTTAGTTACATTTTCTTTCTTTTTTTTTTCTATTTAGGGAGCAAAGAAGAATCATTGCAAGATGTAGACCCTATTCATTGGAAATATTGCTGCAGAACTTTAGTCCTGAGCAAAAACAGGTTGTTGAAGAAATTGGTTTTGGAGGTTTATTACATCTTAAATTGAAAACTCTTAATCGTCAAATGCTACCTTGGCTTGTTGAAAAATTCAATGCTGGTAGCTGCATGTTTACCATCGCTACTGGTAAAGAATTTGTTGTTACTAGAAATGATATATGCGATGTGTTTTGCTTGCCTTTGAGTGATATTTGTGTTCCTGAACTTAATAAAAATTCTGAAGATGAAAGTGTAGATAAACGTATCATTCAGGCATGGAGATCTGATTATGGTCTTTCTGGTAAGCAACCTCTTCATTTGTCAAAATTGGAGTCTAGGATGGTTGATTTGGTTGATGGAGGGGAAGAATTTAAGAGGTGTTTTGTTCTTCAAGCTATGTTTAGCTTTTTAGCTCCTACTACTAATAGGACTGTTTCATTGAAGTTGCTTAAAGCTGTTGAAAAAGTTGATGAAATTAAAACTTTTGATTGGTGTTCATATGTTTTAAAAAAGTTAAAGAAGGCTGTTCAGAAGTATAAGGATGATGAAAATGCTCAAAATGTTAGTGGTTGTTTGCTGGCTTTGCAAATTATGTATTTTCATCGTCTAAATTTTCAAGGTGAAAAGGAAAGTAGTACTCTTCCTTTAATTCAACATTGGACGGATGTAAAGATTAAGAAGCGAATTAAGTTAGAGATCAAAGCTAGTGGTTATGGGCAGGGACCATTGGATACTATTACATATCCTGTGTCACAGCTTAATTTTAGGGGAACTGTTTTTAAGCCAGCTCCTACTTTGGGTTATGATAAGGGTCCTTCTACAAGTGGTACCACTGGTCGCATTGTTGCATTTGAGCTTCCAGAAGGTATTATGACCGATGAAGAAATTAAAAAAATTTCAACTGATGTAAGTGTTCTGTTTTCTTATATGTTTAGTTTAATGGAATTAGATTTCCTACTTATTTTATTATTTTTATTTGTAACATTTTTTTTTTCATTGTTCATATGTTTGTAGGTTGTTCATGAAACGTTTCTTTTGTTTAAAAGAAATATGGATGTTTTATTATTTGTTCAGTCAACTGGTTTTCAAACCTTGAATGATCTGATTACTTCTCGCAGAAGTGTTTCATTATCTTCTGATGATTTTGTTTCAGTTTCTCAAACTGAACTGCTACTCTCTGATCCTCATTATTTGAAGATTTTTTAGATGGTTTAATTGATGAGTGTAATAAAATGAAGTCTGTACATGATATGTTTCGCGGTTTTTATGAACCTACAGAAGGTAACAAAGATTTTGTTCCCGAAAAAGAACCTGCACAAGATTTCAATGAAAATATTCCTAAGGATGATGACAATGGTCATGGAAAAATAGTTAATGAAGGCCTTAATGGTTCTGGACCTTCTGCTATCATTCCTGGTCCTACTCAAAATATTCCTGTCGGGCATATTGATCAAAATGAACCTCCTCGACTCAGAGCAAATAAATCTATATGCTCTCTGGACTGTGGACATGTAGGTGTGCAGGTGCCTTTTGTAACTCTTTTTGTAAAGAGCAATGCTCGGATTTTCAAGAATTTGCCTCAGTTACATTTGGAAATTCTCGATTATTGTTTGCTGAAGGATGTTTCAATGGATAAGAAGTTAAGTGTCCTTTTTTATTATAATTATTTTTTTATCTGTTTTTTTTCTTATATTTTTTTTTTAATGTTGATCTTATTTTTTATTGTTTTAGTGAGAGCCTTGTTACTTTTGGAATGAACTTTTTAATTCCAAGAGAAGACATGGTGACCCTTGTTGCTCCACTCAGGATTCAATGGTGCGTTATTGATTGCTTCTGTCTGTATTTGAATGAGAAAGCATGTTTTCAGGCTACTGGTCCTCGGAAATTCTTCTTCGGTGTTAGGCAGAGTGTAAGTTATTTCATTCCTTTTTTTATATCTTAACACATTTACTTTATATATATATATTATTGAGATCTTATACTTTAATAGTTTTCATTCTTGCATGTTTGTGACAATATTGGCAAAGGTAACATATCTAGTGCTGTTAAGGATTTGCACGACATATGGGAAGGTTGGGTTAGCTATGAGAATCCAGAATGTAATATAATGGATGCTGATCTGGTATTTTTATTCTAAACTTAATGTAATAAATTTAAAAGAGTTCTCTTTATGATATGCTCTGTTTAAATCTCTTTAATTTTGCTGTTTCAGATCTATTTTCATGTTCTTATTGAGAATCACTACATTTTGTATGTTATTGATCATACAAAAGAGTTGGTATATTATCTTGACAACATTATCTGGACTGATTCTGCTCTTGTTTATACAAAAGAATTGTGTTCAAAGATGGTATGTTTATGTTTGTTTTTTTTGTTATGTTACTGTTGATTCATTGTTTCCATTTTAACTTTTTTGATTTTAATGTATTCTAAACTTTTATATTTTATGTCAGTGTGTTCAAATGGGCGCTTTTCTTGGCAAAAGAAATCATCCAAAGAGTTCTCAGCTACCTTCTTATGGTTTTGAAGTTGTTGAGTTGGAATGGAGAAAAGAAAAGGTTGACAATTTGGACTGTGGGGTCTTTGTCATGTATCACATGCTCCATTTTGTTGGTGAATCGTTCAAATTCAATGATCTCAAAACAGTAATTATCTATATAGTTTCTGTAGTTTTTTCCTTTCTATTGCTTTTATTAATTACATATTGATAATTTTTATTTTTTTTGCTGATTTGAGATTAGTGGAAGGAAATTTTTACGAGGAGAGATCTGTACCACACTGGTACTGTGTGATTTGAATGAATCTAGGAACGATGTGTTGTTAGAATTACACAAGTTCAATGAGAAGAAGAAAGATCCTGCTTATGTCAATGGAATTGAAGAAATATTAAAGGCTGCAATTGCTGCAAAGAAGAAGAGAGAAACAGAAGAAAGAAAAATGGCAGCAGAAGCAGAAGCAAAGGCAGAGGGAGAAGAGGAAAAGAACAAAGGAAAAAGGGAAAAAAAGTTTACTCCTTCTAAATAGTGAAATAATTGATAGTTGTTAGCTGATTAGTTCAGGGGGTTTTTTTAACAATGAAAAAACTTAATGTATGTGCATACATTAAGTTTAATGATGTAATTAAACTTAGTTTAAAGTCTTTAGTTGTTTTTGGAATACTGATGTATGTGAATACATAACGTAATTAAAAGGTTTATTTTTATTTTTTTTATGGGGTAACTTTTATGCAGAAAAGGGTACTTTTATTTATAGAAAGGGTAACTTTTATTTATAGAAAGGGTAACTTTTAAGCAAGAAAAAGGTAGATTTTATTGTTAGAAATGGTAATTTTAGCAATGAAAAGGGTCACTTTTATGTAGAAAAAGGGTCACTTCTATTCATGAAAAGGGACACTTTTTTCTGTAAAATAAAAGGGTCAGGGGTTTTATGCATGAAAAGGATAACTTTTAGTGATAAAAAGGGTAACTTTTATTAACAGAAAGGGTAACTATTAGAAAAGAAAAGGTTGATTTAGTGGATAGAAAGGATAAAAAGGGTTACTTTTGTGGGTAGAAATAATAAGTTTATACATGATAAGGTATACTTTTGTGGGTAGATAGTGTAACTTTTATGTATGGAAAGGGTAACTTTTGTTGATAAAAGGGTTAACTTTTATTAACAGAAAGGGTAACTATTGCCAAAGAAAAGGTTGATTTAGTGGATAAAAAGGATAACTTTTATGCATGAAAAGGGTCACTTTTATGCATGAAAAGGGTTACTTTTATGCATGAAAAGGATTACTTTTATACGTTAAAAGGGTAACATAAGTTGATGTGTTCCAATAATTAAACATGTGCTAATAAAAGTGTCAATCACATTTTCATTAAACTAGTCATAGAGTAAAAAAACAAAAGAAAAATAGTTTAACAATACAAGGTATATTAATTTCGAAAAAAAAAATGTTCTAAAAAAGATCTTAAAAGAGTCGTAAGTTAGGTGTCTTTGATCCAAATTCTGAATTTGGAGGTGGCAGTGCTGGTTTTCTTTTTCTCTTGCTTTTTTCAAGTCCTCCTTTTGCTCTCTTGCTTCTTCCTTTTGTTACAGCCCTTTTAGGATCAAGAATTATTGGTACACATGTGCTTGTACTCGATGCTGAAGAAGCGTCAGTATTGCTTTGAGTGTTGTCTGCCACATCAGGAATGTTAGAAGCAGCTTCTGCACTTTCTTTCTGAGCAGCACTAGCAAGTAAGTCTTCCACCATTTTAAGACTGTTTCTGAAGCTTTCTTCCATAAATGCTCTTGTCTCTTCATTTTCTTGACTTTTTAAGATTAGATTGTAGTATTTCCTCATCATTGTTTGCCTCCACGGAATATATTGCTGTTTAGGATCCTGATTCTTCAACCTATCCCATGCCTCTGTTTTTGCAAACTTAGTCCATCTTTTTGAAACATACTTGTCTGGTATTCTTGTTACTGAATGCAAATGTAGAATTCTGATGCAATGATAACATAACCATCCAGATGCTTCAAAGTTTTTGCAAGTACACCATACAGTTTGGCTCTCTTGTATATAGTTTACTTGATGTGCAGACCATGGCTTGTCTTCTAGTGTTACTTGATAAAGTAGGCATTCTTCATTACTGCCTAACATCTGAACAGTTGTTGCCATAGAGTATCCAAACTCCTCTTCAAAATTTCTAAAGAGTGATAAAGTGAAAACCTGTACATCAAAATCATGTAGCTTCATTTAAATTGCCATATATTAGGTGTAATTTATGTACTTGTCAGTTAACTTTTTACCTGTGCAGCATGATTTAGCATTCCAGATAGAGGCAATGAAGTGAATGCTATTGACTTGCTACAGGTAAACTCATCATATTTCTCTGTGCTTCTCCAACGATTAGTTGTCTTCTTAAATATGGTATAAAATTCTGTCAAAGTAGTTGCTTTACTTGCTCTGAATCCTATGGCATGATTAGTGCTTTCACTCCTTTGTGACGATAAGATCCCTGCTGAAAAGAAATCTCTACAAAGGGCAGGACACCATTTGTCTTTCAACTCATACACTCTTTTGTACCAAGAGTGTTCTGTCAACTCATATTTTTGCAACATTGCTTGCCACTTTGCTTCGAATTCTTGTTCTGTCACACACATCTTTAAGCACTGGTTGAATGCAAATTTGAATTCTTTGTCTTTTTTAAGAGCTCCAAATCTGGTTATGGCATTTTGCTCCAAATGTCATATACAAAGTCTATGTCTTGTATTAGGAATCACTTGCATTGAAAATAAAGGGGTCACTTTATGCTGTTAAAAGGGTTACTTTATGCACTAAAAAGGGTAACTTTATGCAGCTAAAAGGATAACTTTATGTGAAAAAGGAAAACTTTATTGTCATAGCTCAAATCTGTAAGATGTCAATATAAATCTTTTACCTCCAGTATAGCATTTGCCATTGCTTGGTCCTGGTCAGTGAATATTGAAGTTGGTTTTCTATCCTCCATAGCTTTGAAGAAGGTTTGTAGTAACCACACAAATGAATCTGTCGTTTCATCCCCAATAAAAGCACAAGCAAACATACAATTATGCCAGTGGTTATTTATGCCAACAAATGGAGCACATATAAGATTATATCTGTTGGTTCTGTATGTTGTATCAAAGACAAGAACATCTCCATATATCCTATAGTCTTCTAGCATCATTGAATCTCTCCAAAAGATATTGCAAATTCTTCCTTCTTTGTCAAACTTCACTCTAAAAAAGAAGTTTGGATCCTCTGATTGTTCCTGACTTAAAATGTTCACTAAAGTTTGAGCATCTCCAGCCTCAATTTGTTCCATTCTTAACCTTGAGCAGAAATTCAGGTGATCTACAACACTATGGCCTATATTCTGTTCTCCTCCAGCCTCTGTAGCCATGTAATTGTAAGTGTCCATTGTAGTTAGACCTGAAGATTTCATTGTTTTGATTGTTACAACTTTTTCCTCTGTCATTTTTCTTTCAGAACGATGTAAATAATGCCACTGTGGCTTTGTTAGCTCGTGGTTATGCTGAATAACATGAGCCACCACCTCAAACTGTCCTTCTTTATTCACTTTTGCTCTTATGCATGCCTTGCAATTTGATCTTGTAATGGATACTTGTCTTGGCTTTCTTGTTTTTACATTTACATCCTCTTCATCAACCATTTCAACTAACTTTGTTTTCTTCTGACCTGAATGTCTCTTTCCCTCAGCAGAACACACATAGTTTTTCTCAGTTACTATTTTTGTGTGTTGTTTGAATCTAGTTGTATGTTTTCTTATTGAAAACCCCAGTATAGCAGCATGTTTTTCATACAATTCCAAAATTTCTTCAAAAGTTTCTCTTACCACACCAACAAATGATCCTCTAAGATCTAAACCATAAGCATCAATTGGATTTGTATATGTTATTTAATACAAACAAATCAGATAATAACCACAGACAGCATAAAAAAAAGGGTAACATTCGTTTGAAAATAGGGTAACTTTTATGCATGAAAAAGGTAACATTTAGGCATTGAAAGGGTTACTTTTTGCATACAATATGAATTTTCAGCATACAATCTGAGTGTAACATTTGAGCATAAATAGGGTAACTTTTATGCATGAAAAAGGTAACATTTAGGCATTCAAAGGGTTACTTTTTGCATACAATATGAATTTTCAGCATACAATCTGAGTGTAACATTTTGAGCATAAATAGGGTCACTTTTAAGCATGAAAAGGGTAACATTTAGGCATTCAAAGGGTTACTTTTTGCATGCAATCTAAAAAGTTCTGCATTCAATCTGAGGGTAACATTTAGGCATAAGTATGGTCACGTTTATGCATGAAAAGGGTAACAATTATGTATTCAAAGGGTTACTTTTTGCATACAATCTCAAAAATTCATAGAAATTACCTTCAGTTGCATCTGATTTGGTTGTTTGTTCTGAATTTGAATCAATTGATTTATCAGGAACCACTTGATTTTCTGCATTATGAATTGCGTCTTCTGCATTCTCAATTGCTTCATCTGCATTATCGATTGCTTCATCTGCATTGTCTGGATTGTTGAATATTGGTACGAATTCATCTCCAAAACAATTAGTTTCTTCTTCTTCTATAATCGATCGATTTAAATCGATTTCAAATTCAGTCTCAATTTGCCTCTATTTTTGTAGCAATTCGTGAATGAGATTGCTGCAATTTGTTGTATCGAAAGTCGAATTCTCCATTGATGATCGAATTCTGCAATTTGTAAGTTTTCTCACTTTCTTTGTCCTTAATTGATGATCGAATTCTTCTATTTGTGCGTTTTCTCACCTTTTTTCTCCTCGATTGATGATCAATTTCTGCAATTTTTGCGTTTTCTAACCTTTTTTCTCCTCGATTGATGTTCGTTTTCTGCAATTTTTGCGATTTTTCACTTTCTCTCTCCTCAATGGATGATTGATAGCTGCGTTTTCTCACTTTCTCTCTCCTCCATTGTTGTTCTGCGTTTTTTTTTATTTTTAGGTATTTGAAATTCTGCGATTTTTTTTTTAAAAAAAAGCACGTGCGAAAACCCTATGTACAGTAAAAATACTGTACACCGGGTACATGCAAATGGGTTTGCTGTACGAATCACTAATTTTGCATTGTTTACCTAGGGTGTTTTCCTTTTACCTTGATTTTTACTTTTATTAAATAAAAATAAAACTTATCTACATCTAATCTTTAATTTAACTAATTAATTAATTTAGAACTTAATTTATTGGAACTTAAATCTTTCGGAAAAAAAAATTAAAAATGAATAAATTAAAACGTTTTAATTAACCTAATTCAAATTCAAAACAAGGTGCTGCAAAAAGTAACCAAAAGAAGAAATTGTTGATTAGTTTTGCTGCTGTTAGTTTTTGCTGGTGGCACCTTATCACTTACCATAATTGTACTATAGGTCCGATAAATTATAATATTAAGTAATTTTTTAAGAGCTTATATATTAAGTTGTGAATTGATCTTGAACTTACTAATTTGAATTGAACTTATTTTTTCTGATATTAATATTAACGGAGATATACGTACTATAAAATTACAAAGGTTGGTCTCATAAAAGGTGCTTATGTAGTGATAATGGAAAATATACATTATTGAGACAAATTCAATGATATTATACATGATAATATGCTATGTAGAATGTAGTATAATTTCAATAAATCATTAAAATGACTTTGTTGCCAATAATAAAATGGATGTAGTATATTTTCTAAAATAAATTGATTTTGGTGGAAGTCTACTGAAAATCAAAGTGATTCATGCCTAAAAAGAAAAAAAAAAGCTAATTAAGCATGTCACATCTAAAAATAGCAAAAAATTAGAGCCATGCAGCAAAAAAGAGTCTACTTAATACTAGTACTACAACCATGATATTCTGTCCATATGCATAGAATTGATCATGTTTTCTAATTTCTACACAAAAGTGCTCTTTAGTTGACTTATTGTTTTCATGATATTTTGTTGCTATTTATTTATTTTATTTATTTAGTGGCATTTTATTGCATTTCATCATAATATTATTTCTCCTTTTAGTGGGTGTTACATGACACCATCCTATGCACCCATTACTCAATTACCTTTCTGAATTTTATGTGTCTTTCTTTCTTTCTTTTTCTTTTGCCTACCCTATCTATCTATTTATCATTTGTACTATTAGAGTACTACATACTACTATATATATGGACCTCCCTCATTTCATTTACATACAACATTACCATGGCTCATCCCAAGTTATTACTATCCCTCTCATTCCTTCTCTTCCTCGTCGTCTTCTCTTTATCGTCGCGTGATGGTGCACTCGATGAGCCTCTCTCAACCGCGACTCCATTTTCTGTCGTTGAATCCGTGGACCGGCTGCATTTTCTCCATCAGGTTAATATTTATCTACCATGTAACATGTTTTTGTTTATAGTGAAGGTTAATGCATTTACGTTAATTTTCTAGTTGACTTGTTTTGACCTCGCCTTTTTGACATTATTATTATAATTTATATTGTTGTAGGATGGGGTGTCAAGGAAATCAAGGAAGTTACTAGAAGGTGATGATTTAGTGCAGCTGGATTATGACTATGCAGGACCAAATCCTAGGCATGATCCTAGGAGAGGAAGAGGTGGTGGCAGGAACCCTTAAATGCTTGCTTAATCTTAATTACTAATATATCTTTACTTAGATATATTTAATTACTAATATAAGTAGCAATTATTATATTTCTCTTTCTCTTTAATCAGATGGAGAAAGAATTTTGATCTAGAATATAGTACTTGTACTATATATTAAGAGGAAATTAAATGATGCTATTATAGCATTTGTTTAGCATTCATATTAATTTCATATTTACTAATTACTACTTCCCTAAGAATAATGTAAGTGGTCTTATTTGTGACCAAAGTATATGTAAATAAACGGGATATTATTATTGTTAATTACGGATTACATTTTCGACATTGTATTTTGGGAGGGAGTCCCAGTTCCTCATCATGAGGAACACTTTTGTTCCTCATAATGGCATTTTGGAAAATATTGTGATGTTTTTCATTAGTGGGGACCGCCTGTCAATTTTGGGTGGACCTCTCTGCTCTTGACACATACCCCACGAGGAACTTGTTCTTCACAGTGAGGAACAGGGAATTACTCGTATTTTGGCATTATTGTACATTGTACCCCTGAGCTTCAGGAATTAATGCGCACAGTCCCTGTATGTCGTGAACCAGATGTTAATCCTGGCTTACTCGTAGTTTCGAAGAGTGTTACGTGCATGTGACTTAAGCTCTTCCTAGTCATAAGACTTGTTGAGACTTAAGAGGCTACTTTCAGAAGAGCAACAAATTTAATTTGGTTAATAGAAAAAAGAAACAGATTAATTAAACTGTCATAAGTCAAGACAATGCCAAGTATCTGCTGTTTCTAAGAGTTCCTTGATTATGCTTTCTGATCCAACTTGAAGTGTCCTGTTGCCTAGCAGATGCAGCAAAGGACTAGACCAGAGTTAGCGGTTCATGTTAATGGACTTCGAAATGGGATCAATTGATCTGAATTGCGGATCACATCTAATACAAATCAGGATAGTGGACAATTAATACAGGTAGGTTATGAACCATGTTACTAGTTTAACGAGGGATAAAAAACAGGGGGGGGGGAATTTGGGTTAATAGTTTGTGATATCCGTACCATTAAAACATTAGCGGACACATTAATAGTTTGAGGGTGCGACAATGAATTTTGGAAGGGAGGGACTAAAAAGGAGTTCACAACACATTTTGTGTGCAGAAGGCAGAAGGCATTCCAATATTGCGCGCATCACTGCAGTCAGCAGCAGTACAGCACTAGGTCAGACTGTTATCAAGGTTGGGTTTTTTTTTTTTTTTTTTGAAACAGTTATCAAGGTTAGAGTTGAGCAAAGGTTTGTTATGCTTCATGAAAGTTGCAAATTACACAAAGGCATAATTTCTGAAACTAATTAGTTGAATTATTAAAGAGAAGATGTATATAAGGTCGTGTACTCATGTTTGATAAGTCAATAAGTCATGACTCAGGAGAGGCAAAGTTGTATCAATCTCATAATGGATTTGATTTCATGTGTAGTCAGAGATTTTGAAAGCAAAAAATGTGTACAGATATTATAATATATAGTATGATTCCTATAGACTGAGTATTGGATTTATATACACATTGCACTTAAGCTACCAATTTACAAAAACAGACGTGAAGACAACCACATTCCAAGAGAAACAACACCAAGTGTGACAAAGGCTTGGCCGAACTCATACAGAACGTTCTCTTTATCTGCAGGCAAATTCTGCCAATCTGTTTTCCTGCAACAGAACAGCAAGAATGGGTTATGCATGAAGTCATGAACGAAAGGACGGGTTTCTATAGGATGCTTCACCTGGCTATATTTTCTAATAGAAGAATGCTACAAAGAAATAGTACAAATATGTTATAGACAAAAGGGTAATGATATAGATTTACAAAGCTCACAATTAACGAGTAATTATGTTGGCCAGGTTAAGCCAGACTATCTCAATAAAAAAAGCAATTCACAAATATCAAAGATAAAAACAGCATACCCTAAATCTGCAATAATTATGCTAATATTATCTTGTGATCGCCGATCCTGCAACAAGAAGGATGAAATTATATTATTAGGA